TCAGACAAAAAAAAAGCAATATAAACATGTCACTTTGGGCTTGAGGACATCTCAGTGGGCATTTTCCTCAACTATCTAATGTATAAACCAAACAAAAACTCTAGATAATAATGGACATATTAACCGATAATGAAAATAACCATTAGTTGCAGCCCTAATGTCATGATAAATGTTTCAACGGTGCCAAACAAAGTAATCTAATATTCATTGTCTGCCAAAACAGTCCAATCCCATATTTATATTTTCCTACATAACACAGCTGCAAACTCCACAGTTAGCCCAAGGCAGGCTTACTTCAAATGAGTATAACTAATCCAATTTAGATGTCTGACAGTTGAATGGCTCTGCATTAGTTCCTTTGATGTTTTCTAATTATATTTTGTATAGTATCCAGTCGTATTTTGTCAGCTCTTCTGCCTTCTGCCATCAGTAATGTTTTAAATGTACAGAAAAAAATGATTACACCTGCCATTTGTTTTTTATATATATTCTTATGTAGACCATCAAAGTTGACCTCTGGGAATGAATACAGTTTCCACTATTTCACTGGACTGATATGACAGTGGTGGTGGTGACAAACAATGCAACACTTTGAATCTGTTACTGTGGATGGGGAAGAATGGGGTTAGCTTTACTGCTGTGACGTAGATCCTGTAATTGTTAGAAAGCGGAGGAATGGTGATATGATTGGGGGGTGGGGGGATCCCGCTGTGGTAAAAACCCACCATTAGACGCCCAAGCTTAAACACCATCAACAAGGTGAGGTCATTACTTAAGGATAAACAGTTACACAGAAACTGGGGAAATTCTGCCTGTTGCTGTAATGAATGAACATCCTCAGCCTTCCTATGTCATACACAGTTGTAGGAAGGAAGTGAGAAAGTGGGAGTCGTTTACTCTGTAGGAGAGAACATATTATTGAAAATGTCAGCTATAAACTAGCAGTGCAACCAATCATTAGTTTCTTTATCAATTATTCTACTGAATATTGTCTCACTTAATTGATTCATTCTTTGGCCCGTAAACCCTCACAATTTCCAAAGGGAATGTCTTCAAATGTCGTGTTTTGTTGTTTACTGTTGTATGACTGGTTGTTTTTAACCAGGAAAAATTAACTGCATGATTAATTATCAAAATAGTTTATAAATGTTATGCATATTGACTAATGGATTAATCAAGCACTACTTTGCACAAATTCAAAAAAGCATAAATTATATTTTCTTTCAGCAGCCACGGCTCTAAATAAAATATTGGTAAACTTCAAGAACATGACATTGCATTTATCTGGCAGTAAAAATGCAGTACCATTACGACAGGAGTGCAGTCAGTCCTCGCTTTTAATTAGCTTTTAATTGTCTTTATTAATAACCATTAAAAGCAAATGGACACCAGCTCAATTAAATCAAACCGCAACAAGCCCTGCATGCTAACAAGCCTGCAGCTGGACTCCCAAGGGAAACTAAACAGAGTGTATCGGAGTGTAAGCACTCCTCATCAGCCTCTGGGTTGTGTATCAGAGAAGACTGCCAGTGATTTGCTCTACAGCTGCTGTCAATGACTCAGGGGAAACTGAAGCCGGAGCTGTTCGACCAATGACTTCATATCATGGCACTCGGCCAAGCTGAGAATCACCAAAACCAATCAGGAGCAAGAAATCGTGTTTTTATGATTAAGAAGTGAGTGAGGACAGGGGAAAGTGGTTGCTGCTAATTACCGAACTTAACTCACTTCCGGGCAGTTCATGTCTATTGCCAGGAATAAGAACATATTCAACCCACTCTTAGTGTAGTGTTATATTTTAATATCGGGTGTTATGCTTCCCTTTGTGGTCCATTTAAAATCAGATATTGTAACATTTCAGCTCATTTCATAATGCTAACTTAGTATAACAAATATGTTTTAGCCTTCCTTGGGACCTTGTGGTAAGAAAGGCATATTAAGTATGTAAAACATTTACTCCTATACATGTGGGGAGAAAAGCCTCAGAGCTCTGAAGGGAATTTTCAACTCTCATACTTGAAGAGGAGCCAGGAAAGGCTGAGTCTAATGTCTATTCTCAAGTGGAAAACTAGGCTACTAGGGTTTACTGCCAAAAATACTGAATTTTTTGCACTAGTGGATCTTTCCTCCAGGCTGAAAGTATGGTTTATGACCAAAGACAGCTTCCAAACTAAAATGAGGATGAGAGCAAAAAAAAAAAAAAATTGTGGGTGTGCCAAATTACCACTTGAAAACAACCCTCTCTGCATTTGGGGGCTCCATATTCTCTGGCACAAAGTTAAAAGCAAACACCAAAATGGAAACAGATGTTGAACGAGCAAGAGCTGCTCAACACTGCTGTATATTCCATGTTTTCATCCATTCTCTCTTTCTCTCCCACTCTGTCCTCTTTACTCGCCAAACATAAGGAATGGGAGGTGGGGGGGTGGGTTGGAAAAATAAAAGTGAAACAATGGGGGTCAAAGTGGAAAACTGGGTAGTGAAAAGCTCTGATCAGTCCCAAACCATCAAGATGGACCTACAGTGAAGTGCGGAAACTTTGAGTGATGACAGTGGAAAGGTTTATAAACGGGTATTTTGTACTAGGTGCTTACACTTCAAATTTACCCAAATCTGAATCAATATCACACAAGGTGAGTTACTATATTTTAAGGCTGCAAAAAATAACATTTTCATTATCGATTAATCTGTCAATTACTTTCTCATATAATTGTCTCACCTATAAATATCCAAAAATAGCTAAAACCCTGAAGAGTTTAAATTGCTTATGTTGTCGGACCCACAGTTAAAAACTCAAAGATGGTCAGTTTTTTAACTGAGAATATAGAACTAACTAAAGTTTGGGATTTCCGCTTGAAATACGATTAAAGCAATTAATTGATTATAAAATGGTTGCCAATTAATTCCAGTCGACTAAAGATCAATCAACTGTTTCAGCTTCAAGTTGTTCACAATAATCCGACTGATATCTTTCTGGTGTGTAGCTGCATGTTATTAAAAGCCCTGCATATGTTAATTTATTCAAGCTAATTAGACCACCTGCTCAAGTAGAGCTGCAACGATTAGTCAACTAATCAAATATTCGATCGACAAAACGAGACATTTAAAGACATCAACCCTGGACTTTGGGTGGAAACTGGAATTGACTTTTCTTTTTGACTTTTCCAAATGTTAATAGTTAATCTAGAAAATAATAGATAATGCCCTCGCCTACCTTTTAATATTCCCTCTTCACACTCAAAGGCTCGTTGACAAAGGGTCGGTTAAAGGTTTCAGTTTCAGATAAACAATGCACGTTCCCCACAGCGTCTGTCTGCGGTCCGGCTGTTCGTAGCTTTGTTAGATACAATATAGATTGCGGATAAAGACAACTTCACACTGTCTGCAGCGACTAAGAGCTCTCCATTATCATAAAGCTATGAAAAGATGGTGATGATGGTACACAGAAGGAAATGACAGTTCACAGTCTAGGTTAGCAAGATGCAACTAGAACTGACATACAAACAAAATGCTATGCACGATAGAAATACTTGTAAATACTGTTTCAATCCCATTGTTTGCTTCAACATCCCCAATTTATAAAAGTCTAATAATGACTGAGATCCCCTGATGCCTCCGCGGTCTTGCTAATACACAGGAGTGTGTGTCACCAGAGTGTTAGACCAGCCAACTTCAAGTAACACAGCTGACTGGAAAGTTTCCCTTTATTCAAACCTCTGAAATGCTCAGATTTAAAAAAAAAAACAGATTAAAAAAAAACCTCCATTCTTCTGCAACCAACTTTCTAACATCTGTTCCTCGTTTTTCTGAGAGAGGATGTTGCAGCGAAGGGAGCGGGGGCTGGGAGGGAGGGAGGGAGGCGCTTTTTCAAAACTCTGGAAAATGCAAAGCGAGTGAGGAGGAAGTTGAGAGAAAACATCCCATTTTACACAACATTTAGGCTTGATGAAGATATATAAAAAAAAAAAAGAAGAAAGAAGTTGTGAGTGATGATGTCAGAAGTGACGCTGCTGCCAGGAATACATCACATGAGCACCCACCATCTGACCAAACTGCTGAAGAGCTCGTTTACATTTGGAGGAGACTCAAGACTTTATTCTGAAATCTTCCTCTCGTGCAAATATTGAGTAGAAGGTGAAATAATGGAGAAAAAAAAGGATGATTGTTTTTGGAAGTATTACCTAATCTGTCTGGTGGGAGAAGAAGTGAGCCCTGTACAGCTGAGACGATTAATCGAGTAGTCAATTGACAGAAAATTGATCTGCAACTATATTATATAACTATATTGTGTGTGTGTGTGTGTGTGTGTGTGTGTATATATATATAAGTCATGTTAGGCAGAAATGGCCATAATTAACAGATTTTCATTGTCTTCTACAATTTAAAACTACCTGACTGAGTCAACTTGTGCTTTGGGAAACTGTGATGGGCATTTTTCTTTTACTGCTTTCTCACATTTTATGACCTAAACACTGAAGTGACTCACAGATTATAAAATATTGTTATTTGCAGCCCTAGTATCTTGTCCTGCCAATACAAGCTGAGTAGAGTAATATTTAATTCCAGCTGAATAAGAAAGTATGATTCACTGTGATGTACTGCACACAAGAAATCAATGAATCTGGGGTGTTATACAGTCACATGCACTGTGCTGTGTGCGTGAAATATTAAACCACGACAAATGAAGGCTACCACCACAGGCTGTGACTTCCAGCATTCATTTTAAATACATATTCCTCTCTGAACATAATCCATGTACACAAAAACAGGCACTGAAACAGCTTGCTGCCGCTCATATGAGCTCACCACACTGGTCAGGGAGTTTATGTTTGGTTTCCTCCCCGGCTGGCCCCAGAGCTTTCTTAGAGACAAAAATAGAAAAAGTAGCAGGCAGCAAAGAGCTAACGCTAGTTACTGCTGATTAACGCAGGTTAGCAGGAGGCTACTGAGATCAATAAATAACCCCTAACCGGGGCAAAATCCTGGTTGTCATCACTCACCTGAACCGTGGGGAGTCCTTCAAACATTCCTCGAAATCCACAGTTATCTTCATTGTGCCGCAGTGAGTAAAAACCCTCAGACTTCGCGCTGTCTTCTGATTAAACACAGTAATCCCAGGCTCAGTCTGTCCGGCTAATTAGCTTGTTTGCTAACGTTACAGTTGGTCCACTGTCAGCCGCTCTGCTAGCCTGCTAGCCTCAGGGTGGGGGGGGCTGGGGGTGGTGGGTGGGGGTAGGGGGGGGGGACAGCAGCAGCAGCAGCTACGATTAAAAAGTCGCGACAATGCGACCATAAACTGACTGTGTGTTGACTGTATGGTTGCCGAAATCGCTGTAAAAGTATTTGCCGTGGAGACCGAGAGTGTCGTCCGGTAGCAGGCAGCGGGAGAGCAGCGTTCCTCCAACAGCCTCCTACAAAGATCGTCTATACTGGGAACAGATGGAGCTCTGGGTGTGCGCATGCGCCTCGCCCCCACTTCGAAACACCCCCCCTTTTTGTTTTTTTGTTTTTTTTGTTTTGGGGGGGGGGTTTCCAACAAACATTATCTCACTTTGACACGGCGTTAAGTGTTAAATGTTCAGAATGAGTGAGGTGGTGATCACTCCTTCATATAAAAAAAGTTGGAGGGTGACAAATGGTGTTTTTTATTGATCATCGATGATTGGTGTCTTGTATAGATTGTTTTATGGGGAGCGTGTGTGGTGGATTTTTTATCACGTTTATCATGTTTATTTATGTTCCACATTGCAAAACAGAAGCTAATCCATACCTCCCCCCTACGGAAGCCCATTTCCGCCAATGTGACGGAAAAAAGATTATGTAAGCCATTAAAATGAGAAACTTTCTCAAAATACTAAGTATCCTAAAATAATCAGAAACTTTCTTAATTATCTCATTATTTTAAGATATTAAGTCATTATTTTGAGAAAGTTTCTCACAAGTTTAAGATACTATGTCATTATTTTGAATTTCTTTTTCATTATTTTAGGACACAAAGTCATTATCTTAAGAAAGTTTCTCATTATTTTGAGAAAATGTTCCATGATTTTAAGATACTAAGTCATTATAATGAGAAAGTTTCTCATTATTTTAAGATATTAAGTCATTATTTTGAGAAAATGTTTCATCATTTTAAGACACTAAGTCATTATTTTGAGAGTTTTTCATTACTTTAAGAAATAAGTCATTATTTTGAGAAAGTTTCTTATTATTTTAAGATATTAAATCATTATTTTGAGAAAATGTTTCATCATTTTAAGAAATAAGTCATTATTTTGAGAAAGTTTCTCATTATTTTAAGATATTAAATCATTATTTTGAGAAAATGTTCCATGATTTTAAGATACCAAGTCATTATAATGACTTACAGATGGTAGCATGTATATATGAAATCATTATCATCACAGTAAAATTAACAGAGCTCACAATACTTCCATGCTTTGCAACCAAAATACGAAAACCAAAAAAATAATGTCACCAAGAAATCAACCCTGCGACGAAAAACAACGAGCGACTCATTTGTCTTCACCTACACGATCTTTGCGTCAGTTGACAGGCGCTTCCTGATCCATTGGAATTAGCGTTGACTCTGCCTCCTCCTTATGACGTCTATTATGTCCTTATATTACTCCACCGTGTCTTACACCGTAGATCTCACCAAATCACTCGTCAAACACAGTCTACAAACACCGAAAACGTTACACGTGATATTTTATCAAGCTGTGAAATAAATATTTTAATCACTTTGTGCTGAAACGCCGTTTTTGGGGGGATGAATGAGACACTGGAAGACGCGTTCATTTTGAGATGTAAACCCCACTGGAGACCAAACATGCAGGATAATCCTTGCACGAACACGGTCCACTACTTCATCCCATTAAAATCACTGGAAGTACCAACGGGAATGAACGATGCGTGGTGTAACGGCGCCATCTGGTGGTAAGAGAGAGATACTTCACCCCAAAGCGCCTCTCCCATGACAGTGTATATATAAAGCAGTGTGCATTATCTACAATTAAACTTAACACCACATGTTCTGTTACCATGAGGTCCTCACATTGTTTTGTTTTCTAATGAGATGTAGAGAAGTAAAGTGTTTTTGCTCAACTATCCCTGTAACTTTTAGATATTTTAGGCACTTTATTGTATTTTAATGTTGCTCTATTTGTTTATTTCTATTTAAGATCACAAAATATCCTGAGAAGTTTTTTCATCCTTCATTGAGCCAGTTGTCTCCGTTCATTCCCATGCAATATGAAAACTTAAATGCATGTTTCACCTACAGAAGATAAAGCATCACAGGGAAGATTATCTGTTTCTATCCCGTCTGTTGACAGGTAATGCTATTGAAACCATTTTAAATGAATATGCACATTGGTGACTAGCATAAAGGTACTTTTAAAGTATCATTATAAAGCAAATGAACACTGTAACAGGACAGGTGTTGTGATGGATCACTAGCAAGTTTAAAATCTCTGCAATTTAATTTCTATTAATTTGCTTTGTAAAGGACTGAAGGTTGCAAATACACTAGATTTGAGTTGAATTACTAAATTAAGAATTGTAATGGAGCATGTTTGGGTATGGTACTTTAATTAAAGTAAAAGTACTTTTCACATCACCGGTGAATTAGATGAGGATTGGTTGGATAAAACTATGTTTATGAATTTACAGATTAAAGTTCACTTACAGTAGCTCAAAAAGGAGAGGGGAAAAACTGTAATTCTTGTGTAAGTCCTTTAAATCAGACATTGTCAGAGAGACGGTTGGTGTCGACTTTCTGCATCATTCCACTTTAAAAAGGTATCCGACTCTTCAGATCAAACAAAAGCCACAACAGACTCTAGTTCCTAACAACATTTGTTTAATGGTGGGAGACAAAAACAGAACTGATGATTGAGAACATGCAAACTGGAAATACAAAACACATGGATTTGACGTCCATGTCATTTTGAGTCAGACACACACACCGCAGTGTCATAAGGACTGCGTAACAGTCTGTCATCCTTAGAAAAACAAACCACACGGGGCAGAAAGTGGCGCAAAAAACAAAAAGCGAGACGATGGACACGTGAGGCGAAAGAAAAACGGCACAAAAAAAATTAAATAAGAATAGTTACATGGAGCATAGCCTTTTCATTTTACACACATGTACATAAATACATAAGAGGCACATTTGACAGGTAATAACCACCGACGGGGTGTGATCATGTCAGTCGTGTTTTGGACGATCTTGTCCTTTTGTCTAAAGTGAGAAAATAAACTATTATCATCAACGTCTCTGCAGTTGTTACTTTTCTATCTGGTTAACAGTATAATTTCCAGACGTATTCCTGTTTCTCTGCAATAACCGTGTGATAATTAACTGCTCGGATGTGAGCTTGTTGGTTGGTGGAAATGATCACCAAGTTGCTTTAACCTCTATGATGGAGAGAAAAACGCCACCAAATACTAAACTACAAGAACAAAAACAAAACAAAAACTCTGCAAAGGGACGTTTGCACGAGTCATACCGTTGGTCTGTGATCTTCTGTGTTTCTATAATACAGACTTCAATACTTTCAATCACAGTGAGGCATTAAAGGGTCCGAAGAAAATGAAGAGATCACAACACAAGACATACTCAGGGTTCCTGTGTACTTTTCTCTCTGGGCATTCAGTTCTTCATTCCACTCATACAGTGAGTGTACACGAAGGATACTTAGAAACGGACAACTTTAACAGTGCAATTTTGGTCGAACCAGAATTATTGTCTTCTTCCACAGAACCTTTGTCAAATCCAACAATTTTTTTAAGACTTGGTAGAAACTTCCTTGACACTTACAGGAACCCCAGACATTTAAAAAAAAAAAAAAAAAAAAGAACCTTTGAAAACACCTCCAAAAGCCTTAATGGTCAACTCCACTGCCTAACATCTAACTTAAATCAGTAGCATCAATAACACCTCTTTCTTTGACATTCCCAAGCTGCGTCGCACAAGACACTTAAGTAGATCAGACAACACTAAATAATGTGATGAAGAAAAAAAACAAAACCAAATGATTGTACCTTCCTCAAAAGAATTCCCTCACATAAACTGGTGATGCTCCCATGCAATGAGAAGTTAAACACGAGTCATTAAAGCGAGAGCACAGTGAGCGTTGGTTTTGTTCTTCGTCAGATCTACGTCGGAGCCTGGTGCTGGAAGCTGTAGCTTGTTAAAGACGGGACACTGTCCTGTTTATCAGTAGCACGTGCTATACCTCCATGTGGGACTGCAATACTGTCCCTTTAAAAGAGATACAAATGTCTTATGAGCCAATTTCAGTACCTTACTGCTATTGCCAGGAAAAACACGGGGGGGTATAAGAAGCCTGACTCATCTTCGCTGAGCATTTATGAAAACGATTACTGGCTTTGTCCTGCAAACTTCTTCCACAAAACAAACCGAAGTGCAGAGCAGGAATTTCAAGTCAATTTTAGAGTTTTAGCTGAAAAAGGTGCCTCTTGATAGACAACCTATATACCAAATTTATCAGGGGTTTATAAAAAAAAAAAAGGCCTACAGTCTGGTTCCATGAGGTATACATGTTTTTTTTTATTTCCACAGTTTGAACTGAGGTTTTGTGTGGTGTTCTTGCTTGTGACAGAACGTAAATGAGAGGTCCTGGAGCAAAGTGCCAATACTCACAATCTGTGTTGTTTTTACTTGCTCTTAAGCAAAAAGCCATACAGTTGACTGCAAGCATCAAAGCATACATGTCAGTTAACAGTATGTAATGTTGGTTGTAGGATTTAAAATTTAGATTTTCTTTTCTATAATGAAATTTAGATTATGTAGGTTGCGTTGTCTTGTACTATTAGACTAATATATAGCTCCTAAATGATCATAACAACATTATGTCAATATGAATAGTGTAACCTAAGTTACCAGGTAAACTACTAGGGACAAAAACAAAGAAAACAACCTAACTGGTCATCACGGTGTCCAACTTTTACCACAAAACGTTCTGAAGGAGGAAAGGAAATGCAACAGAGTGGTGGGTCACAAAGCAAAGCAGAAATAAAAGCTGTCTGAAGTCAACCCAGTATAAGCGCCGTCGTCATGTCTCAGATATGCCTTTAGTGAGGCCATGGGGTTTCCCCTAGCTTCCTCCAGGGCTGACGTACTGGCTCTGTGGCCTGGAGCCTGTGGAGCGGCAAGACAGGAGTCCTGGTTATCCAGCAGTTTTTTTTTTGTTTTCTTAAAAAGGCCTTGATCCTCCTTACAGGGTCAGAATCACATATTCTTCAGTGCGAAGCCAGTCCAGAGGAGGCGGGAAGTCGGGGAATTCTTGGCAACAGGAGGGGGGAGGGAGGAGGAGGAGGAGGAGGAGGAGGAGGAGGAGGCAGGAGCAACAGTCTTCACTTGTGTTTTTTTTTACTGATTCTGGGAGTTAACAACCAGTGTGTTTGAAGGTTATATTGCACAGTTCTAAGGAATAGTAGAGACAGACAGGTGACCGGGAGGTTATTGGCTGTTGAGGGTTGTTATATGGGGTGGTGAAGCGGTTACTGCTGTACGGCCCAGCGTTAAAACACAGAGCGCAGCGGCATTCGCGCGTCCTGAGCCGACACACAGGGCTGAAGGTGGGAGACAGGCCTCATCTACGAGTCCAGAGAATCAGCTGCAGGATGAACAATGAGACAAACAGTCAGAAGAGAAAGATAGAGCTGTAAAAACACACATCTCCATTTCTGCTCTTAGTGCTTTGATCCTCTAAATAGAGTCGCTAGTGGAAACAGATTCATGATTGAAAATGGGTCACATCTTGTTTCATATCTTCAATACAATTACTCTGTAGTAAGAACGTTTTTTTTTTTTTTACCCTCAAGCGATTTACAGTCAAGTGTTTCATTCTCAATTCAAAATCCTTTTAGTATTCATTCTTCCTCTGTGGTTCATACTTATTTTCCAACCTGGAAACTCACTCATTGTGTGTTTTAAGTCTGACAAAGACAAACTACTGCACCAAGAAGAATCTAGTCTAAATCTCTCTTTTTTTTTTAAATAAAATATTAGTAGACCTACCTAAAACAGGTTTTCTACATTAGCATCAGGGCGGTTCAAACTGTTTGGTACGTGACAAATAAAGCCTGATCCTTAATCGTAGCCCACTGTGCTCATGTACGCAGTGGGTTTCATTTAAAACCTCTTCCTGATGCACAGCTTTGCGAGTTAATGAACCACAGCACTGCACAAACAAACAGCAGCCAGCAGTTTAATCTAATGACATCCACTTTGACGGCATGCATCAGCGCGCAAAGCCATTATTCCTGAACCCTTTCACTACGGCTATATTTTGTGTGCTACACCTTCAACACATACACTTCCATACAAATGATTTCTCCTGATGTGTCACAGGGACACAGTCTCCCTCTCCTCACCTTCCTGTGGCGGGTCAACACTGATCTCCTCCGTCTCCTCTGCGTCCTCCCTTGTCTCTTCCGTTTCGTCCCTCATCTCTTCGTCTGCATCTTCGTCCTCTTCTAGCTCGCTGGCAATGAGCTGGCGGGCCAGCTTGATGTTCATGCCCTCGTTGTAGTGCATCTTCCTCATCATCTGAAAATGCGTCTTTTTGGCTGCAGAGGAAGATACATTTGAAATCACTTTAATTTGCCAAAAGCAATGGGTGGCTGGAGAATTTAGCGTGGCTAATGATACTGCTGGCACAGCACAACACTCCTGATAAAAACAACGGTAAATGATAAAACAAAACAACTCAGTTATCTATGGAAAGATTGTTTTTTCACATTCACACGTGGTAGTAACACTCTTCTCCTGCGTCTCTATTGTTTCTATGACAAACTTACTTCAAAAAGGGGTCAAACTCCCAATGGGACACAGTGAGGAAGCTGATGAGGGTTATTTTAGTAAACAATAACTTTTACAATAAGTGTTCACTGCAACCTTGAGGTGGATGCTAATTGCACTAAAATAAGATATGTTGTGACACAGACTTTATGCGAGTCTAACAGGAGCCATGTTTGGGCTCCGTGTCTGTGTCTGTAAGTGTGAGTGATGTGCCACTGACACATTTGGGATTTAAGATTTCAATGCGCACACATCCGTGACAGGTGAAAGCAAAGCATACAGTGAAGGTTGGAATGAGGTCGTTTCATCCTGGCTCTGCAGTGCAGCTTTTTATGCAGAAGTCTAATACATAGACACACCTTAGTCAAACCACATAGTCATTTTATTTTTTGTCCATGTTTGCCTGTATATGGTTATACTAGCATATATCTGCTCACAGAACACATTAATGAATACATTCATGAATAATATTCCTACATCGTCTTCAACCTGAATCAGCATGTCTGTAACAGCAGCTCTACAACGGATGTTAAAACTTTCCAATAGGTGGCACAAGTTGGCACATCTAGAACTGTGTGTCAAAAACTGCTGAGGCTACAGCTCTGCAGTTGGACTATATCGATCAGGTTTGCAGTTTCCAGATCGTTCTCTTGCTTTTACCTGCATAGCTCAGATATACAAAACATTGGGCAGGAGAGAAACGTTTTCTATCCTGTTAATATTCTAATCTCTGTGTGTGTGTGTGTGTGTGTGTGTTTGTGTGTGTGTGTGTGTGTGTGTGTGTGTGTGTGTGTGTGTCTGCAATGCAGCTCGACTGACATCTCTGAGTGAGAAGTGTGTCTCTGTATGAGAGTGCACGTAGGCGGGCAAGGTCAGGGAACGGTCAAAGGCACACTGATATTATGTGTGTGTGTGTGTGTCTGTCTTGAGGGGAGTCAGCGAAAGGTCACGAGCACACAGAACACTTGAGCCCTTTTCCCACACCGATCCCTCTCCACCAGCACTCCACTGCCACTCTGCGTTCAGTCTCCCTCGCAGCTGCAGACGACACTTTGTATTAAGGTGGAGGTGTATAAATAAACAGGTGAACTGTGGGATGCACTCGCCACCATTAGCAACAAACAGCAGTCGCCATGGACACAGATATACACCTCTCTCATTCAGCTGTTGAATCTATCTATTATGGCGATGTTCCACTGAAACTCCACTCATAAATGAAGGCACTGGTAGGTGTGTTTGTGATCAAATAACAAAAGAAACTTCGTTTTACCTTGTTCTTCAGGACTCAGTTCCTCTTCCTCCTCCTCACTGCTCTCTTCATCTTCTTCTTCTTCCTTCATGAAGCGAGGTTCTGAACCCTCTGCTGCCACCAGCCTTGAAAGAAGATAAAAAGAAAAGACATTTCAATGAATTGCCTCTTTAGAGTATCACCATTCACATTCATATTAAATGAGTACATGACCAAATAGAAACAGAAGACCATCAATAGCTCCTCCTAAGGTCATTGTGGAGTGATTAAACGTCTTTTTTTTATGGAAAGAAACAGACATGGGGGGGGAACACAGATGGAGAGATATTAGGCGAGGGGGAGGAGAGAGTAGGTACAGTGAGAGTGAAGAGTGCGTGTGTGTGAGTACTCAAGCATGAGACAAAAATAACAAGAGTTACTATCCCCGTCTCTCACACTCACAAAAGAGCTTTAACAGCAGAGGACAAAATGAATAATGGTTCAAGGCTCAATGGATGGCAGTGAATCGGTGCAACTGCCCCCTGAGGAAGCTGACTATTTACTGTACTCCAACCAAATGGCCTGATTCACCCAGAAAGAAGACAGTGAGTTTCAAACCGTACTAAATAATGGCATCAGATACCCAAAGAGGGTGGGGATAAAGACAGAGACACGGAGGAGGGGAGAATGTGTTAAGCGGTGCAGTAAATCTGAGAAGAGCGAAGTCAGTTTAAGGAAAGCAAAGTTGGAGTGACGTTTGATAAATGAGAGGGGAGATTGAGAGTGGATGTTGGAGAGATTAAAACAACAAGAGCACAGAAGAAAAGAGCAGCTGTTGTACTATCTGGAGGGTTTAGTGTAAAACAATGGAAGGCACTCTGTGTGGAAGTAAACAAAGGCAGCTAATTGACTTGCAAGCCTGGAGCTAATCACTATTCTCTCTGTGGCACACACGCTCAAAACACTCCAACTAGCTCATCCCGTATCCCTGCATCAGTGCACTTATGTAAGCACGATGGCCCACAGCAAATACACTTCTCAAGCTCCTATTACCGTTCAGAAGACAGCTCTGAGTGGCAGATATACATTTATTAACACTGAGACTTTTCAGGGTCAAGTTGCCCTTCCTAAAAACAAGAAAAACGTTATTTATTCAACCTCCTGTTCTCCGTTTGCTTCTGCTTGTCTCTGAGTTACTGTGTGATTAATGTTTTTTATGAAAGCGCTATATTCTCAAGCTTTAGTAAATAATTTCCTGTTTCCATGAATCCTTTTTAAATGATGAGTTAACTTCTACTTTCAAATTAGTTTCATGCATGTAGCATATGTACAGTAAGACACGACAATCACAACATGCTTTGTGGGTCCATTGTAAGGTAGACAACGATGTAGCCACACGCGCAAACTAGAAATAGCTTTTTAAAGATGATAACATCTTGGAAATAGATATTTATTCTAGGGGTATTTTAACATCACAGAAGTATGTGAGCAGCATGCCTGACAAGTACTAACAGTATGATTTAGAGCTATTCCTTAAACGGCATAACTCTTTTTTCCCCCCTGTAATTCAAGGCTGATGTGGAACACCCATAAACCCATTGTTCACTGATCGACAGCTCATGTGGCAGAGAGTAAAAATGCAGGAAGCATGTCCATGAAAACAAAGAAATGCTGCCAGATAACATTCAACCAACACACAGTCTCCTGTTAACCTCCACACTGTAACATGGGGTATTGGTCATGTATTTTTGGTTTAGAATTGAAATTTTAGATTATAAATCTGAATGTCTGCATGTATATTATGCTCAACATATAAGAGATATGTTTTTTTACAGGTGTCTTTATTATCTTTATTGCTGTATTAAAACATCTTCAAAGTATAATTAGTAAAATAAACTGGAAGTAAGTATGCAATCATATTAGGCACACACACACACACACACACACACACACACACACACACACACACACACACACACACACACACACACACACACACACACACACACACACACACACACACACACACACGTTACAGGAAAGATGCAGAACACACTGACATGGCCTGTTTAAGGTGGGAGTATAATACAGTAGAAATTGGATTATTAATTGTAGAAATTTGCAACATATAAGTATTAGTAAAATTATGTTATTATTTCTTCTGAGAACTTTTCAAGTGATTGGTATTGAACAGACCTGCAGTGAAACATGCTGAGGACACCAAATTTAATTTAGTTTGGGGTATGCTGCTGAGTCTGACCTTTACCGGGATTCTCTAAGCTCTATTCTCTTTCAGTGAAAGGGGAAAAGGTTTTTCAAGGTGCATTTAGTAAATCCAGCCTGGAGCACTGTCAAAGGCAGCAGTGCAGTCTGGGAGTGAATGTACTGCCTACTGTGTCTGCATGCTGTGTGTGCGTGCGCATAAACTACATGGCACAACCCCTGCAGGCTGCAGCTGAGCAGCTGCTCCATTACACCACCACTAACTGGGAGGTTACAACTGGATGCTAGCTAGCTAGGTTGTGATGCACCAAGTGGCAAATATAATAAATATAAAATATAGGTAAGAAAATTAAGTCTACGGATAAAAATTGATACGTTTTCCAAGTAAAACGATGTTTACACATCAATAGTATTGCAACTTATTTGGCACGGCAGCATTTTAATGTGTAGTCCAAATTGTTTGTGTGTGTACTGCTGCAGTAAAGTGACCACTGAGTGTCTTAAAGACGTCAAAGGTTGTACAGTACACTCTTATCAGTTATTGTTACGACACATTCTTGCTGGAGGACAAAGACATTGGTGAGTGTTTTCAGGTGTGGCTTAACTGGGCTACACCTGAGAGCACAAAAGATTTTTCTCCCTTTTCCAGGTTACATTTCTGCTTAACTAAACATTTAAAATGCTACACACTGCACCAGCAACAGGAAAATAATAAAAAAAAAAAAATCAAGGTAGCATAGCTGTTAGGCCAACCTAATCATCCCTCCTTTCATCGCTTGCTTTCTCACATTTCTACCTCTATACTTGGTTTGTTCTTTTCTCCCTCTTTTCACACGGAATTCTTACTTCGAAGCAAGGTCATCAGCTGCAAGTCCGCTGTGGCCGTCCGAGTCACTCAGCGCCCCCTCATCATCGTCATCCCCCACCATCCTGAAAGAGGGAAATTAACTGAGTTAAGATAAGCCGAAAATACGCAGGTGACGGTGGATTCAGAAGGAAAAGGCAATGCAGACACAAACGGAGGCAGACGCCACGCAGGCAAGTTGACGGGGGCTAAAAAGGGTGGAGAAGAAGGAGACAGGATGGACGAACATAAGGTGAGGAAGAGGAAAGGTCTGTGACAAGGGTGACCTTCCCCGCAGCACTCTGACATATTGGATTACAAACCTGCTGAGGCATCCCTGTAACACCAACAAACACAACTCTCCTACACTGGCAGTGGTTAGAGCCCTAAGCTGGCTACATGATCATTTCAAGGGTAGACAGAGGTATGCATTTTTAAAAACCTTTAGTAAATGAAAGTCTTCAGATGGTTTATTATTTAAAATATAACATTTAAAATATTTTCAAAACTCATTAAAGGATCAAGTTGCATTAAGACAACAGGATTTCGTTTTTTTTTTTTCAGAAGCCTCTAACCTGTTGTAAGGTGTGCTGGGTTCATCGATCTTCATCAGGCCATAGTCTTTGTCGGCTGGATGGTATGTGGCCAGGATGTTCATCTCATCCCATTTCTGGGATTTCTTCCTGTAACAAAAAAAAAAAAAAGCAAAAGAAAGAACAGTGAGAAGTAAATGATGGATACTCTAATTGAACCACCGCACGCCAGCTACTGACCCACCACTGCAGATTCCTCCAGGGAGAAGAGTGACCAGATTTAATCTAGGACTGAACGTGCCCCAGTTTTCACTCAGACTTCATACTTTGGGAAATGCACAGACAAAGAAGCCCATAAATGTCACCGGCCCAAATTTGGGTTCCTGATGTGTTTCAGGAAGTGACACAGTGTTTTGCTTTTGCGTCAAGGTAATTCATCACAGATTTGAATAAAGGGTCTGAGTGGGTGCTGAGGCTGATCAGCTGCGAGCGAATAAGGTCAAAACAGAAACAACAGTCTCATTTGATACAATTGCTTTTCCTAGAGTTGATTTTTGCTCCACCTCCCTTAAACACATCTGTTCCTAATCTAACAAATGGTTCCATTCTCATCTGGGGAATAAGGTTGTCACCTCTGCATGCTCTGTCCTGGGTTTTTGTTCAAAATTACTGTAATCCTTGCTGCCCTTTCAAATCCTTAGAGTAAATCAACAGAAAGACCAAATCTGCACCGAATGACAAATTTAGCTAGAGAAGATAAAGAGAGAACACCTGTCATTATAGTTCAAGGGAGACATGGAAACATTTGTTTTAACTCTCAGTAAAAAAAATGCCTCCTGCCATTGCCAATTAATTGTTCATTATGTACTTTGTTATATTGTATTTCACATCTTATTGAGCTTTGATATCATTTGGTTTCTGTAGCCCTGCTCTCCATTTTTTCTTTGGAATTTCTTTCCACTTTTCAGTTTACTTCAAGCCTGTGCACACTGTCTCATTAGCAGTGTTTACTTTCTACACGCTTTTTTAAAAAAATCACTTTAACTTCATAACAAAGCCGAAACCTAAAGCCATAAATCCGGGCGCTTCTGGGAGTCAGCTGGCATGGGTTAGCCCACCTCTGCTCTCCCTAGCCTCTCCTGCCAAGGTACTGTACATCAGCCCTAACCTTGTTCATGGAACAAAAGGTCGGGTATCATGGGAGACAGGCAGGCACGGGCTGAGAAACTGGAGAGAGATGCTAAATCAACTGCCTGCTGCTACAAGCCTGCAGAGCTCCCCTACGCCTCTCACTCATAACAGACCAGAGCCACACACACAGATAGAGAGAGGGGAGCCCTAATAACTGCGTATGCTTCTTACTGTCGACTAGAACTTGTAATAAATAACCTAAATAACTAAATCTCTTTAACAGGGCAAAACACCACGGCACAATTTTTATATATTAAAATGTGTTTATATTTTACACACACCTGGTAGTAGAATAAGCCACTAAAAACCAGGCCCAGACTTTTTGGTCGTGCCGCCCACCATTATTTCCTATGCAGGAAAATAGGGGTGTATACACCACTTCAGCTCCTGCAGGAAACAGCGACACGCACACATAAGTACACCCACAGAGGTTTGTCAATAAGTCAATCAATTTGGTTGTGGACGCTGAGCCAAGTCAATTTCCCCAGACTCCTTACCGACTCAGGAGTTTGCTTTAGTATTTAGCTTTACTTAACAAGCTTTCATGTGTTTCAAGATCGAAACAAGCGGATGAAAAGGCAGATGTGTACTCAGTTGCCAGGTTATTAGGTACACCTTGCAAAAAACCAATGCAGTTTAACAGTCCTGCAATGAATTCTACCATCATGAAGGCTATAATGTTCAGGGGCTCAGTGCATCCCCCATGAGCAGCATACTGCTGCTCCAAAATTATGACCATTGGGCTACAAATGATTTTCACTCGCACGCCGCGCAAGCACGACAACATATGGTTGACTAACTCCTCATTCTTCAAATGACAACTATGTGAAAGGTACTGTTACAAGTGTAGCAAGCTACAGTGTGCCAGTTAATAAATGCTGCAGCTTCTCAAGACCAAGCCTCATCTGTTGTTTCCAAACTGCTAGAAAAGTGAAGGGGCTTAGCCCTAGCAGATACTTCGTCTGTGCTTCAGATTACAGTCTGGAAGCTGAGCAGGAAAGGCAGTACGGTTTTTGGCTGCTATGACAGTGACTGCTTGTCATTACTACCTACACAAGTGTTTCTACAACTGTGTCCATTTTGTCATTATTTATATTAATGACTGTCGGCTAAATCTTGGTTTGGGCACCAAATAATTCAGTTTAAAGGGTTTTGACCGAGCACATTAGCTGACATTAAATGGCACTGTAATGAGCTGCTGGCCTGACTGTGGGCAGAAAGGTGGCCTAGTAGTTTAAGAAACCACTCAGTAAGCAGACAGGCACATAGGCCAATACTGTTCACCCTGATAAAATGTCCTTGACCAACATACTAAACAGGCACACTCATTCTATAAAAGATAGCTATCTTCCTCGGTTGGATGGATTTGCCTTACTGGAACAGAAGCTAAACTTGAAAACAGGAAAACAGTGCATACCTGTGCAATTCCTACATACAGCAATCCTCTGAGGTTTGTCATCTTTCTTATTATCTTATCCTGCTACTTAGAAAACAAGGTAAGAACAATAATCTCTTTGTCAGGTCACATTTCCTTAAGAAATTTCATGACTGGGAGAGTTTCACCAACATTTTCTAAAGCAAGCTCAAATCAGAGAAATAAAAAAATAAAAAAAACTACGCTGAGTTAGCATCTGGGAGTGGGTGAGTGTATTACGACGTTAGGTGTCTGTGGTGCTTCACTGTAGTGTGTGTGTGTGTGTGTGTGTGTGTGTGTGGTTACACAACACACCCCAGAAGCAGCAAACCAAGATATATTTCCACCAAACTGCTGTTGCCTTTAAATCCACTCAGGTCCACTCATTCATCACAAAAAACTGTAATACAATGATGATGCACCTGCCTCTGCAAGGGAGGGGGGAAAAAACGGACTGCACCAACGACTAGCACACACTAAATATAGAGCTGTATCTCTTATGTGATGATGACTATCTCAGTAGGGTGGTCAACAGCTGGCGACATAACGCTTCAGGAAAACTCATTAAACAGAGTGAGCCATCATTGAGAGCTGAGCTGTGCTATCAGGTAGCATAGTCAGAGGGTAGTGAGGAAAGGTCCAGCCCTGCACTCTCCACTACTATCTGAACCCACCAACAGTGACAGCACCAGCCCCTTGTTGCTTCCATATACTGTGTCAAGGCAAAAGTAGCAGAGGGAGTTTATTTGTTTCAGCTGCAGGGGAAAATGCTCGTCATCTGAATTACTAGCATTAGTAAATTAACTTTGGTGAATTACATGGATTTGATCAAATCTAGATTATTTCTTTTTAACCTACCTCATAGACTGTCACCTAATAATTAATGTAGATTTTACATTTCAGACACATTTGCTTTAGACGTCAGAGATTAAAATGTCGTGTTTTTTCAGAGCTCCAAAGAGTAACTTCATTTTTTTGATGGTCTACTTGACCAGTGATAAAAAACAACCTTGGTTTGACAGAATGATTTTTGATGGAGATTTTCTGCAGTTTTTGGTATACACTCAAAACAATTGTAAATCACTGCTCCTATGGCTCCTTCCTCAGGCAGCAGTAAGCGCAATAAAAGATTACACAGAGTTTGATGGATGGCCAACTAGGACTAAAACTGTTTCTTAAGCCCCCCGTCATCTGTCCAGATTTTAGAAAAAAACTGCATCAGAGGAGAAGTACTAATTCCCTGGCCACATCAGCAGTCACGGTAAGGTCATGATGTGGAGAAAGGCAACGTCCCCTATAAAAAATGGAACAGGATTTTCAGTGTTATACTTGACAAGTAATTAATAATAGTAATATTAGTAGTAGTAATAGTATAGTATAGTATATTAGTAATTAGTGTTTGGGGAAGTTAATCTAAATCTAAACCGACCAAAATACATACAACTACAATAATTTAGGATTTCAAAGGTTAAATGTTTCATTTAATTTTCATGAATGTACACCTGTAGGTGCTGCTGTTACACAAAATATACTGTATTACCCACCTCTGTACACAGGAGACAATAAAGAGGGAGATAATGAGGTATTTGTGATCAGTTTTACTGCCTTGTCCTAAAAGCAGTTATTACTCTTTATCATTGTAGACCAGAGGTGTTCAGACACCTGTCGATTCTGACTTCATCGGTTCCAGACATTTCTCATGAACACAGAAACTGTATTCATTCTCTGTGCCCAGAGCTGGCCTCGACTGACCTGTAAATGACCTGGGTAAAATGTCTGAGTGGTATTTTTCTGTCCACATTATGTAAAGGCAGAGATTCACTGCCTGCCAGTCAAACTGTCCATCACACAGTCAGGATGAGGCTTGCAAGACAGTGAAGGAGAGATTGAGTTTCATGGAAGCATCCATGAATTATATATGACTGGGTGTGAGGCTCATACATCACTGTTAACTAAATAATAGCGGGTGATTGAAAGGATAACAAAAGTGACAGTCTCTAAAAAGTGGCCAAGGCCTTTCATTGCCCTAAACAGTGCTAAAGGAAATGAAGTGGAGCTGCATGGGAAGTAAACAAATGCAAATGTGGGCTCCTGTATTATCCACACTTTCAATGTCATCGTAGAATCATTTAAGCTTTCTTTATTACCACATTCACACAATTACTTTATTTTGTCAATTGTCCATCTTGGTTTACGTTCAGTTGACTTCTGCAGATTGTGGTTGAGGATATAATAAATGTAATATTTCCCCCCTTTTTTTCTGTACTCTGACTGACTGACTGTAACTAACAGCAACCACTGAAGGCTATGTCAACCATGTTCTTCCTAATCCTGCAAATCTATGGAGGGAAGCTGAATTGTTTAAACATGAACAGGTAGTCAAACAAATCAATGCTGGGTGGTAGGTATTTGTGGAACTAGCTCAGGATATCCTCTGGTACTGTAGAAGGTACTAGGAAGGCAATGTGGTATGTTCCACACAACTGAATCAGATAAGAAGGCAAACATGTTTTGGGCTGTTGTCAAGCTCAACCTGAGCACAACTGAATAATGGCAAATATAAAGCGTGTCAATCTTTAGTTTTCCTCTAAGACCACCTCAAGATAATTCCTTGGTATGCACTGCGCTACAGTATTCAAGACCTGACACGTTATATGCTTAAGTTTTAGCATGCAGAACAGGGGATGACATTGGAGAGTCATCATTTAAGTAGGTGGAAAAAGCCAAACTTACACCGACATGGGGCTTATGAAAACATTCGAAAATAAAAATGCAGGACAGGAGCTTAAAAAAGTGAACTAAAAAAATAAAAGCAAGAAATTATAAATATTTGAGCAAATAAAAATCAATGTAGGAGTATGTACAGATATGAAAGCGATTGGTGCTCTGCCTACAGACTGATGAGTGTGCGCGTATTTGTATGAACTCCGAGCTGAGTTCTTCTCTGTGTCTTTGGCGCATTGCTGCACACAGGATCCTTCCAGAAAACTCTTTTCCCACCATTTCCTTGTCAGTCAAAAGGAGACTATTTTTGTATCAACACAGAAAAAGCTTGGTTCACTGTTGGGAACAGTATTCACTAATAACAGCCATCCTTCGATGGCCTAATTTCTCACACTGCAGCTCAGAGAGGACTCGTACTAATGTCTAGACCTGCCGGCATGGGGGAGGCAGGGGGCACATAAACCACTTTTTTTATTTAGTATTTTTTTTATATATATTTGTCTGACACCTTTTTATTAGAACTAGCGTTAATTTTTTCAGCAGTTTGAGCTACAGTAGCTCGTCTGTTGGATCAGACCACACGGGCCAGCCTTCACTCCTTACGTGCATCAATGAGCCTTGACCACCCATGACCCTGTCTCAAGTTCACTGCTTTTCCCTTCTTGTAATACTTTTATATAGGTACTGACCACTGCAGACCGGGAACAAACACCACAAGAGCTGCAGTTCTGGAGATGCTCTAAACCCAGTCGTCTAGCCATCACAATATGGCCCTTGTCAAAGTCGGTCAAATCCTCACGCTGCCCGTTTTTCCTGCTTCTAACACATCAACTTTGAAGACAAGATGTTTGCTTGCTGCCTGATGTATCCCACCCACTGACAGGTGTCACGATAACCAGATAATCACTGTTTTTTTACTTAACCTGTCAGTGGTCAGTGGTATACATATACATATATAGCTTTTAATCGATAGTGACAGCTGTAGAGCGACTGGTTAGGGTTAGGGTTAGCAGCAAGGACTCAGCCCTGGTAGATGAGGCGCCTGCTTTACCAGGTGAGCCATCAGGACCAACATTCAGCTTTAATCAACCAAAGAATGGCTGGTTGCTTTCCACTGTAACTGGTAGGGAGCTAATACATTTTTTATATACTGATAAATATCTAGTGCTGTACCAGGCATTATCAGAAGCATCATATTGTACATGGATTTTTTTCTAATGATAATTTGTATAAGATCTAATTTTAAAAAGGGATTCAAAATAGATTAAACTGACGATACTGCCAAAAACCAAATGTTACAGTGGGCAGACTCTCCAGTTAGCACCAAAGATTTAGCAGCATTTGGCAGGTGGGTGGTGTTAATTCATCACCCTGACTGTAGATCAGACAGAATTAAATTGATGTAAAGCCTTAAAAGCCCTCATGTTTGTGTATCTATTTTCTAGACATTCACATCAACATATTTTAATCCCATTTGCTGGCAACCTGTTTTAAATAATGTTTTCTTTTGTAATAATTTCCAGCTTGTGTTTTTGCTCAAGGGCACTTTGAAATGTTCAAACCCTGATGGGATTTGAGCCAGCAACCGATTAGGCTTGAGACAACTTCCTGCCGACCCTGCACCCTTTTTTGCTTACCTGGTACCATCCAGTGAATTCGTAGATGACAAACATAGCTAAAACTGTCCAACAATGTGTCTGTTTGTTTTTTCACATTTTTATAGTGACACAACTACCTAAATGATGCAAAAAGTGCAGGTTTAGTATAATTTTTTTTTTTTTTTACCAATCATGCCATGGCGAAAAAGCCTCCCTCATATCTGCAATATATAATATCTTGAATATGTAATAAAAAATATATATAAATAAATTCAATTGATATTCAATTATTTCAATAACAGTGCCACTTTCTCTCAAATCTGACTTTATTGTCAACAATGCAACCTAATTCAGCAGCATCACTCAGGGAACCAGAGTTTCCTGGGGGCAGAATGAGAGGTCGCCGTAGAAAAGCAGAGCACTGAAGTGAACAAGGGTTGGTGATCTGGGGCGTTATGTCTCACTGTTGTGTTCACATTGTGAGAGTGTCAGTGTCAAACCAACTTCCAACTCTTGTCAACCTGAGCCTGAAAGCGAGCACCTATTAGACAACAACAGATTTAAACCGTGATATTTTCCCTCCAATGGTCTTGACCTCATCTGAAGCGTACCCATTGCCTTCGAACACGCTTGATATTTTAGTCATGCGTCCTCTACTGTGAGTGGCTGAATGAGCCAAATTATCATCCTGGACAACATCAGGATGGAAGTCAGGCAGAGCCATGTGAGATGTCCTCTGACACTACATCTAATAGGTGCATAAACTAAAGGGTACACGAGAGGCATTCAGGGAAGCAAGGGGGTTGACAACAATAATAATGATAAAGGCGAATAATCAACAGCAGTCTTATGAGTTTAGGAGAATAAAAGCAGAGGTGGGTCTAGGATTATCAGACTCGTCTTGTTTACCACTGATAGCTGCCTCTTTTGACACAGACTGCAGCTTCTGTGCCAGTGCAGGCCTGTAGCACAGCTGTCAGTGTCAGATGTAACATCATGCCAGAGAAATAACTCAGGGTACACCCGGCTCTGCTTTGTTTACTCACTGGTTTAGGCTGATTATTCGTATAGCTTGCCAAAAGCTTTGAGCAACACATATTTTTACCATTTTAATTTAAAGCGTACATTGTCTTACAATCAATGCTAGCTGTATCCATCTTTTTTTTTTTTTTTTCATCTGCAGGAATCTTCAATGAGTGTTTAATAGTGTAATTTACAGAGAGGTCACTGCTGGAGCTGTAACAAACAAGACATGACATGGGGTGTTTATTACTAAAACAGGGCTGGGTGTTTAAAACTTGCTGACATACAGGGAGGTAACCTATAACATCAAACTAAAGATGCAGTCAGTTAGGTTAAATGAGGGGGTGTAAACAATAGTTATTAGTTATATACATTGTTGGGCTTGTTACTCAAAGCATGTCATTTAATACTCATTACTCTTTTCAAAGTAATATTATTAATTTACTTATTACTCCCTGCAAACAGTAATTAGTTAACTTACACTACTAGTTATATTACGTATCTGCTGTCCCTTCTCTCTCTTCCATGTTTGTTTGTTAAAATCAAAGTAATTGTGAAAATATTTTCAGCTGCTGAATATAAGAGTTTCCATCTTCTAAACTAGTTTCTTCCACAATTACAAAAACCATTCATAGGATGTGATTGGATTGATGGATTTCAAATTAGTAAGGAGGTGACAACAAAAGTAATGTTGTAGCTTAACTAATTATTCTTTTATTTTTATTTTGGGGGGGTTAATTACTTTCTACAGTAACATAATTACTGAAATGTATTAGTAATGAACGTTAGTTACACTACTGGTTACTGGGGAAAGTAATATTATTACTGTAATATTATACAGTTACTGCCCAAAAATGGTCATTAGCGGTAATTTTCCCTATTATGGTCATTGTTGGCTCCGGACTGTCACTGCTCAACAATAATTGTTACCGCTGTTCTTTAATTAACCACCATTATGTAAAGTAACGTTAAAGTGAGTCGACAGTAAGTTGTTGTCTGGTTCTTTAAATAACGTTGACAACCGTGAACAACCGTTACAACCGTTAACAACCGTTGACAACCGTTCACGACCGTTCACGACCGTTACGACCGTTGACAACCCCATTAACAGTTACCTGTCGTGTTGGCTAGGGAACGAGCTAATGTGAGAAACGGGGTTTAATCTCTTTTAAGATTTCATCGGACAATCTGATGGTCGCAGGAGAGGAGCCAGAAAGTTTCCACACAGTCAGGGTGCCCGCCGTTGACTCGCACTGACAGCTATAAAGATGGGTGGTGGTGGGGGGGGGGTTAATGTTACAGTTAGCCTGACAGCAACGTTAGACTAGGCTAACAAGTGTGTAGCTAACAGCTAACGTTACCTGGCTAACCAACCTCGCCTCATTAAAGCAGAAAACTCACTGTTGGTCTTCCTCCGAGAGTCCCGGGGCTTGTTCAGGGATCTCCGCCGGCACGTCTTCGGACAGCGATTTCACGTTTGTCCCGCTGTTCTTGTTTTTCAGGATGCCTTTTATCGGCCGGGGAGCTGCCATTCCCACACGCTGGCTGTCGGACCCGGCTGGTTCAACTATTTCTAGTCAGCTGGTTTTTTATTTTTTTTACAGTGATTTCTGCGACTCGGTTTCCAAAAGACAGGTTCGGTTGTAAACATGCTACCCCGTCATAACACCGTGCTCTTCCATGTACTCAGGAGAAAACACAGGCAGGGTCCTAAGGTGCGCTAGCGGTTCGGCATGTCCACTGTCCGGTTGTTCGCTGACTGGCAGGGAGACAGCACCGCTAGCGGGTCGGCTAGGCTTCTTCTTCTTTGGGTTTTAATGGCGGTTGGCATACCAGCCTGTAGGCGCATTACCGCCACCTGCTGGACTGGAGGTGGCGCAGTAGAGCTGCAGGGAAAACAGCTTTCTCTCTATTGTTCCTCTTATTTTTAAATAATTCATTTAACAATGATGTACTTCCCGTGATTTAGTTCTACTGTAATATTGTGTGGTACTTTAATGGCAATTTGTTGTTGTTTTATTGATTGTTTTCTCAATATATCCTATTTCTTCCACCTCTACATAAGCAGGAACAGACAGAGACAAGAGACATATAATCCCCTATTATGTAGCCCATATCGTTTGTGATGAATCTCATAAAGTATGTCCTGACTGCATGATGACTTTCCTGTTTTAATAACTTTATTAGATTGATTGTTCATTACTGACAGATGGTCTGATACTCTTTTCCCCGCTATGTCACAATGTGGGATGAAGAATGCAGCACCTGTATGGCCTGTCTGGATCTTTTGAATCTATATTATGTGGTCAGCAAGATTTTAAAATACGAGTTCAATGAGAAATGCTGCCTTTCTATACTCGAAAAGTCATAATGGAGACTGCAACTACAGTAGTATTTTGGGGTATGTTATATGTATAGGAATACATTCACAAACTGTTGGGTGATAATCTTCAACCTAAGTGTGTAACACATCTCTGTAGGCTTAAAAAGTGTCTGTTTGATCTTTCACAAATAATACAGGTGCCAAATTTCTTTCACATCATTTCGATTTCCTTATGTTTATATCTAAAACACTGTTTACTGGTTAGCTCAAAGGCACTTCTATGATGGAAATTATTGCCAGGAACAGAGCATCTGGGCCAGTGGCACTGAGTCTTTTAAAAAACATGAATTCTATAATTTCCAAGCCATCACTTAATCTCAGACCTATATGTTTTTTGCACCATTACCCAAATAACCAAGTCGAGTAAGGGCCACATAGTACGGTGCAGTTGGTGACTTTCATGTTTCAGAAAACAGCTGATTAGGGCACATGGCTAACAATTACATCTGCCTTCTCATGTTGCTTATAGTGTGAGCAGCCACTGCTTTCAGGTCAGCTATGAAGGGTGCAGGGTCACTGTAGATGACCTTGTTAAAGAGAAGGTCCATAAGCTGAGTAAAACACAGGAGAGAGCACATACCATAGCTTATAGTTTGTGTAATTCATATGCTCTGAACTGTTACCAAAGTAACTGTATACAGTTAAAGAGAACGTCTGTGTTTACTACAGAATTTATACTGAAATGCAACACAGCTAGGTAAAGCCTGAAATGAGAAGGGTTACTCTACAATAGTTTATAAAGAGCTAGAAGTTTAACATTAGTGGTCCCGGTGCCTGGATGTTTGATTGATTTCAGTGTTGACTGCAAAATGTGCACCTCTTCTGTGGCAGTTAATTTCATAATGATCCTTACTTCCTGAAGTCAAGAAGCAGAAGTTAAGTGACAAAGTGCAAATACTACTGTTTATAACACATGTTGTTTATCCTTTATCCAACCCTGGATGGGCTGTTTTAAAAGACATTGGGGCATACGTTATGAGTATATTTACTTCTCCAGGCACCCCTACACCACTGGTACCCGTGCAACTAACAGCACATCTTCTCTTCTTCTTCTTTTTGATTTTTAAGGGCGGTCGGCAGCCACATGAAGCGCATCTCTGCATGCAACCACAATCATCGCTGCAACACCTTAAAATCATTTCCACATATTAAAAGTAAGTAAGTGTGGATAGCCTAGGGGCACAGTATCTGTTTAATTCAGGAGTGTTTGTGGCGGATTAAAACTATATCAATATATCTCATGGTCCTTATTACGTGTCAGATTATTGTAAACTCAAGAGGACTTTTGTCCTGAAGTTTTATCAATGATCAGATTGGTCAGTGTTTGGGCTATTGACACGTTTTGATTTGAAATGATCTCTGAACATCCTGGAGGGTATTTCATGAAGCTGGCTATTACTTTATTTAAAGTTATTATTCTGGATGTTACTCAGGTAGGCAGCTTTGTGAAATAACCCCCCCCCAGAGCAGGCCATGCAGCAAAAACAAAACATGCTCACATACATGTATTGTATAGTTAGTATATTAGTATGTGTTTATTTAATGATTATGTCTGTCAGTCTCTGCAGCAGTTTGATCTCCCTGTGGGGTTTCTCATTCTTGGATGTTAGGTCCCCTCAGTGAGAGTCCCTGTTCTGGACTCTGCAATGTGTTTATTTTGGTGCTCCTCATTCTCAGTCCATGTCTTTTGTGTTTTGTCTATGTAAATCTTGGATTTCCCTTTTGGTTCAGCATCTGTGTCCCTTGTCTCCAGGTCTTTTTGTGGTGTTATCTCTGGGAACTTTACTGCCAACTTCGGTGTCATTGACATGTTATCCTGGCAGAATGGGACTGGGAGGACATGAACTGCAGGCCAAAATCAGATCTGATGGTGAAAGGGAGACCATGGCAACGGAAAATATTCGATCACCTTGTCTGTTGTAGTTGACTGCAGGTTGTCATATTCCTAATATTGGCTGTAATAGTCTATAACTACCAATATAGAATGTCTTAGCCTTGAATTCAAACCAAAGGCAAGTCGTTTCAACTGTAAAGCCAGTCCTACTTGGACATTTGTCAAACACAAGACTGCATTCATAAATCCTATAATTAATAGGATGTCTGTATTATCCATTAATAATATGTGTATATCCATAACGTCTGTCTATCTCTCTTTCTTCAAGATTTTGCTAAGCACATAAAGGCGGACAGGTTTAATTTTCAATGATGCCTGAGATACACTCCTCAGTTGTCACTTTGAAGGATTCTTCGCTGTCCACCGTGTTTCAGCCAGCCAGTGAGAGGTGCAGTCGGACTGATGGTTGACAGATCTGGACTTGTCTGCGGCACCAGGATCCATGAGTATCAGGCTATCATGTGGACGTGCTTCCTGATCAGGGTCCGTGCTATGCTCAGCTGCTTCAACCAAGGCTTCTCTGTGAAGGTACTGTACAAGAGAAACATGCATTACACACAGTATACTAAAGATGTCATGTATATCATTTGGTGAACATCTGTGAGTCCCTATCAATAATTAATTAATTAATTGGGATGTCTATATATTCAGATTTCCCACCAACTCCAATCAGGTAGCACAAAATGTAAAATATATTGCAGAGGTCAGTCTCATTACAGAAGCCCCTACAGCACCTTTAATGTAATTAATAAGCTACTGTACAAGGGCCACTTAGTAAATGCAACTACCCTACCTTGCCAAACCAGTGAATACATCTGTACAAAAACTGAATTAGCAACTAGTAACATACAGCATTATTGAAGAAAAAAATGTGTGTGGTATAAATAATTTGACTATCTTTAACTATCCTTTGCTGTGAATAAGATGGTATTTATGAGAGCAATCAGGATGTGTATATATACATATACATATATACATGAACATATACAGCACAAAGGAGAGACCTGGCTATAGTCATGCAGTATATGGCATTTTCTCTCGGTGTTCGGCCACTGTGGGGAGAGAAGGACTCCAAGGATGCAGTCAGAATGTGGGAAGGTTTTGGTGATCCACCAACAAACACCAGCCTCGGAACTCTTTCTCTGTTGGTGATTGGTGGCAGTATACACTTGCCCTTGCATAAGCTGCTGTCTTCCTTTCTGAGTTCATCCAATAGGCAATTACTTTGCACATCTTGTTTACGTTTTTTCTGCATTTCTTTATAGCCACCAGGGTTCACAGACTGCAAGCTGGAGAGTTGTCGTTGTGGTGCCCTTTTGGAAGGGATTTGTTGCACTGAAAGTAAGTTGCTGATTGGAGGTAAAGGCTGCAGAGCTTTGGCCTTAATTCCTCTCCTTGGTCTGATCACAGCCTTCCTAGATTTGGAAGACATATTCGGTGGGTTGAAGCCATCTACTAGCAACATATCCTCCACCCTGACTTTGAGGGCTGCATTGGTGTACTGGCATCGATTGGAGGCTGCCCTTTTCTGCCCCAAATGCACCCAGCGTTTTATCTGGAGGTAAACGCGCATGGGCAGCGACACGCTTGGCAGGGAAACTACTGAGCACAGCTTGTTGGCTAAGTAGCGCACACAATCCCTGTGACCACGTTGAATAGCAACTTTCAAAGGGTCACGACCTGCAGGGTCCAGACAAGCCAAGGTCAAAAAGTTCTTGGTGATAAAGAGTTTGAGGATGAGGAGCTGACTGCTCTCTGCAGCTATGTGGATGGGACACTTTCCGGTGTCTCGGTGGGCGGTTTGGTGGCACCACTGGCGGTACGGATGGACTCCCACTGGTTCCTCAGCATGGATACCTCTCTCCAGCAACCAGTCTGCCAGATCCAGGTGGCCTAAAGAGGCAGCAATGTAGAGTGCTACCTGCAGCTGAAACCTGGAAAAGAAGGATGAGAAAGATTTTCTTTTGTGGGTAAGACTGCACTCTTACTCGTTATGGATAAACTACACGACATCAGTTCTAGTCACACTATTATTCATGTGGGGAATTTCTGACCTAATTTCTGGCTTATTCTCTGATAGGTGGCTCTGGACTGTCAATCTGTGGCCCAGGAGGCAACCCTGGAGAAACTCCACCCACCCGTCCCACGTGTCCAAACGGAGAGTAGTGCCTTTGTTGAAAAAAATACAAATACATTTTTTAAAATTCTATTTAACTTCACTACTTGTCTGTGATAATCTAATAGGAATGTGCAACGGTGAACTTGTTTCTTTGTTCATCTGAAAGTGAAACTCTGTCATCATTTTTAGAAACAGTTGGCATGAAATGGTATCTGTAGGTTGAAACATTTAACTTTGTGTATCATATTGGAACTTCTAGGTTTATACCCTGTCTGCACTGGCTGTGCAGCAAGTGAAGCCATGTAACATATGTGACCATGACTGTAGTTGTTGAATCCTAACAATAAGTCTTCTTATCTTGACAAGATGCTCAAATTTGACCATGTACAACAAACATTTATTTTACTTTTCCAACCTTTCAAATAGTCTGATTAAAGACACCACCTCTGAGAAACCCCATTGAGTTACAGAGGCAAGTGGACCAGAGACAGGTAGAAGAAACTTCAACTCTCTATACCTAAATACCTACCTTTTATTTCAGATCAGACTGGAGGTTGTGCACATTATACAATTCAAAGTAATTTAGTAATTTAGAAGCATGAAAAAAACATGATATAACATGAATCAACTATTCACAAATGTTAAAATAATTAGCAACACAGCCCTAACTATGAAGTTATATACATCAATCACGTAGCAGCACAGAGAGAAAGCAGGACATACCCACTTTAATGGCATAGTCCTGCAGGTGGTTGCAGTCATAGAGTTGTACACCAGCAGGTGTGCTCAGTCTGAAGGTGCTGACAGGGAGGCCACTTTGCATGGACACTACAGTTTTCAATCTAGCGACGGACATGTGCAGAAGAGCCTCACTTCCCCTGATTGGAAAGGTTTCTCCTGTCACAGCATTGAACACATACATCACAGGCTTTTGTTCACTCTGAAAAACAATGATGATGGCACAATGGATTTGCATTTTAATAGAAAATATGTCATAAAATGTACATTTGTAGTTTTTAGTTCATGTTTACTCAAATAGTTGTATATTGTACATAATATAATATAATAATATATATATATGCTATAATATAGCAAAAGTAGTACAGAGGAAAACAGCAAAGAGGAGTTTGCTGCCACCATGAGGTTGACATTATGCACAGTCAATAAAATCAAGGGCGACTTGCTATTACTGGAATGAATGAAATATACACTGAATTACCTAAATAACTCTGCTGAGGGAAACCCAGAACCTAGAATGCTTTTTGCAATGTGCATATAGATCTCTCTGCAAAAACTCTGTACATGATTTACCATCTTGCATACAAATGTTTTTGACTGAATATACTGTAAGTACACATTTGAGAACCAGGGGTGACCTATTAAAGTGGGCAAAAATGTGTCCTCGCGAAATTAACAAAAGATGTGAAATGTCAAAGCAAAGTGTCTCAGGCGAAGACATACAAAAGTCTGGAGAGAGAAATTGGACCAAAGGCCTGTAGAAACTTTTTATGAGGATGTTAAATGATAACAAAAGCTGAAAAGGGACACACACACACACACACACACACACACACACACACACACACACACACACATATGCTTACCACTGTCAAGTTTTACACAAGGTTGCCTGGTGATGTGCCTGGAATGTGTCCCAATACAAAAAACTGAGTAATGGGGACAAACTAAAGATCTCAGGCAGCCATAAACTCAATTCCCTCCAAGGTACCGATCACATGGGAACATCTTGTTCCTTATTAGTGCACCCATCTGAGAATAAATTCACTCACAGTAAGAAGGATGTCTTTGATGAAAAATAATCCAGAGTAATGAATATGTATGCTGTAAAATACTAATATTAGCAGCCCTGAAGTGAAAACATGTGTTTTTGAAGTGAATTGTCATTGACTGTATGTAGTGAGTGAGGGGACTGCAACATATAAACCCTACTGAAGTGTTGTTAAGCAAGAAGAGAAATCTGACATTGAAATTGATGAAAGTAAATAATTTTCTTTGGCATTAGAATCTCACATAAAATAAATGAGTCTTTAACGTTTTGTTTTTGTGCAAATAAAATATATTTCAATGTCAACACTGCTCTGTGATCATCTGTTTATGAAGAGCATTTAAAAAAAACAGCTTCTGCAGTGTTCGGCCTAAAGCGATGATGCACTTAACCCCCCGCTCTCAATGTGCATCATTGTTAGCTGATTGTATTTACTGCAAATCCCAGCACAGCTCCTAATCTCTAAACCCTTGTGATGTTTTAATACCTTTATCAGGCATCGGATGGCACTGCCACTTGTGATTCCCACATCACACAGAGCCCAGCTGTCCTGCAGCGCTGCACCGCCGTAGCTCAACTCCAGGTACTGCTTTTCATTGGTAAGTTGCACAAGAAAGTTATCCTGTAGGAAAGAATGGAAGATTTAGGGAGCTGTGATAGAGTTGTGACCAAGTTCTTTTTGAATGACTGTAGCATTTGCTAAGTAATAACTGTTATTTTCAGTGTATGCACACAGAAATACATGTATAAGATTGCAATGCATACATAGTATTTCACCATTTCAAGCAACATGATGCCAAAGATGTGATAAACCCATCAAACAGTCAATATCTCATCCTGAAGATATTCAAAAATGCAATCAAAACTTAACAGTCCATTAACAGTGATGGCCCTGGATCACTACTCTTATAGCTTTTTATTACCTTCAACATCTGCTTCATGGCCCCCGCTGTCTGATCAGGAGGGATGTCAAAAGGCTCACAGGAGCCCTCAAAGCAGATGAAGACCCTCATCGTCGGGACATCCGTCCTCCGTCAGTTTGGCTCCTCTGTGGCGCTCTGGTTGGACTGGTTGGAGTGTGTGTGTGTGTGTGTGTGTGTGTGTGTGTGTGTGTGTGTGGTGTGTGTGGTGTGTTTCTTCGGAAGCAGTCACTGTAGGGAGGGGGCAGGAGTTGAGTGGAGAGAGTTTGGGAAAGCACACTACTCTCCAAAGTGGGATTTAAAGACATGCTTTTAAATCCAAATTATGTGTTTGTTGTGTTCAAAACATTATATCTATAAAATGTATTATTTATAAAAAAAGTTGACTTATATTTTTGAGGTTGGTGATGAAAATCCCAACTGGGGTTTGAGAGGGTTTATTTAATAGGTAGTAAAATGTTCTAACCCCACATGAAGCACCATTCAAATACTGTTAAATAGGAAATTCTCAAACATAGTAATTTATTAAAAAAATAAAACCACTCCTGGGATGGTCCATGGTATAAACCTACATTATAGTTAGAGTTATTTTTCTCTCTTTTTATAGGCACATGTTGAAGTTTGTTTCTTTATCACAAGACTCAAATGACTTTATAGACAGAAAACGGAAACAATCCAAGTACAATATTATATAGTACAGTGTAAACCACAAAGATTAACTCTATCCACATTTGTATTAAAATGCTGTGTTGCATGTGACAGTTTCCAGTTATTGAGCCACAAATGTGGAGTTAGATTTAATCACTTGACATCTGTACACCTGACCTCTGTTTTTACAATTAGCTAATTAACTTCAACACACACGTGTCTGGAATCTTAGTAACAGAGTTCAGATGTAGTTAAAGACTGTTTATCTGAGGAACACGTTACACAGCGATACAGTATGATAAGTTCCAACAGGTTTATGTGTGACTGTGACTCCAGTTGGAAACATGGCCTTACGTGCTCTTCGCTCTGCCTTTGGAAACTAAAGGACAACCCACTGGTTTCACACTGTGTTGGAGGAACATTACAGCGATTGGAAATGTTCTTTGATAGTTTTACTGGGAACTGCTAATTTACATTTGACCTTTTAAAAGTCTGAAGCTGTCCACAATGTTATTGTAGTCAGTCTTGGCTCAGAGAAAACAGCGACTCCGTTTCTCAAGGTTCGAGACCTGCAAGTTGTGATGATTTCTGATTTTTATGCTCAAATTAGAACACAAATGAAATTTAAATACAGAAATGTAAATTCATGTTATATATTACATTACAAAATTACAAAATACATTCTATTTTACTTTAAAGTGTAGTTTTAATGCTATTGCTTGAATGGTTCTTGTATCTTTTGTTTATTTAACAGTTTTTTATTGTGAAATAGTTTTATATTGTTGATACCTATGGTTTTATTTTACATATATTGATTTTTATGTTCTGCAGCCAGTAAAAATAATTATTAGCCCCCAAAATGTAATGAAATTCAAATAAAAACTTCTCATTAGGAAGAGTGTTCCCTTTCACAATGTGGCTCGCTGCTTTGTGTGTTCATACTTCTTCATAGGCTACTGTAATCACTGCATGTTGTGTGCTAAACATTAGTATTCTAGTTATTTTCCACCTCTGGCCCTTACCCCACTCCACATAAAAAAGGCTTAAACTTGTAGCCTGCAACAGAGGATCCCCCCCAAAAAAGAAGATGCACCCCATTTACTATAGATGGTGCTAGAGATTTAAAACTGTTTTTTTTTTGAGGGGGAAGGGTGACAGCAATTGTGCTGATGTAAAAGATCACATACCTTTTCCACTTAAAAATATACAGTTTCTTTAAAGACACATCGCATTCTGCTGCAAGTTAATCTCACAACGCGCTGAAGCAGCAGCAATGAAGCTGTAAACACGGACCGGCTGCTCGGCTCGGGCAGCTCTTGCGACTGTAAAAGGCAGCAAATGGTTGTTGTGCGCTATCACGTGGATGTGTTTACGTCTGGAATCAGTTCCGGTGTGAGATGATTGGCAGGTGACTCGACCAATCAGAAGACGAGCGTCGAGCGGCGCATGTGGGCGGAAGTTTGCGCTCTCACATGAAAGAAGGAGCCAGCGGATTAAAAACTGTAGCGTTTATGTTCATGTTGTCCGGCCCGCCGTTCAAACGGGATGAAGTGCGTTCAAAATCTCCGCTGTCGTGCATGTTCCTTGACAGGACGCGTAGCAACGGAGGGCAATGTCACTGCAAGCAGTTAAATTGTTGGACACGATAAACCTCCGGGCAGAAATAAAGGTAAACACCCACGGCAAGCTAGTTAGCTACCTGTGTTAGCATCGTGCTAACCCGGGTACAGGACGCTCTGTTTCTTGTAGCCAGCTGCACACCTTTTGTAGGGTGCACCACACCACTTATTTATATATGTGTACTATAACCATACCCTAAAGAAGTGTTAGCTATCTGTTGTTTCTTGACACTAACGCTTGCTTGCTGTATTTGTAAAACATTATATGTGTTAGCCTCCGGGTGACATCTGCTGTTTTATCTCATCAAATCACATCACACTGGTTTTTGTGAATTTAGCCATCTCACCATGACTTCATACTGTGTTTTTAGATGACATATGATTGCTGTCATTTGATGTTTAGTCATCTGTTCACAGTTAATCATGAGTGATGTTGCTTTCACTTCCCCTTTGGTTCTTTAACCCATTGTGTAGCCTGTTTCAGTGTAATGCCTCCTGTCTTACCTGCCACACAGTTCATGCATATCATGTAACAATAGTTATTGTAAGTGTCTTCCTGCAGGCCATTTAAAAAAAAAAAGCTTTTTAAAAGTTTGTAATCCTACATATCTTCTAAGAAATGTTGTATGATGCTGACTTTTGGTGTAAATTAACAATTTAAGGTCGTGTGATATGATGATGTATACTGTAAGACAAAGGAGACATTTGTCAGCTGTTGGAGATTTTGATTTAATGGTTAGGGCTGCACAAGTAATCGAAATATTATCAAAATCACAGGTGCTGTAATGTTTTGCTGAAGGTAAAAAGTGACAAAACAGCGTTATAATAAAGTAATGAAGTACTGTAGTGCTGCAGAGGTCTACAAATCTTATTCTCCAGATTTAAGAAAACATGTTCACGTCATCATGAAATGTTGAATAGCAGTTATCTCAATATGATGTTTTTACCCTATTGTGCAGCCCTAATAATGATTCAGTACAACTCTCTGTGTAATATTGCAAATCATTGCACAGCATTTATTGCAGTCGGAGTCACAGGGTTTTTGCCTAAATATAAGCAAGCGCATTGATCTCTCAGCTATTTCATTCAGGTGTTATGACATTTACCAATATTACAATATAAGTAAATACACTCTATTAGAAAATATTATCCATCACTTCCACACTTAATAGAGATTTATTTCTTGTCTCTCTCCCTTGTGTATTTTGATCCTGTGGTAACATTTATTGCCCATCTCTAGTTATCATCTTTGCATGGGTAAATAAATGGAGACTTGTTAAATTTTAACTTCAAAGTACACTTAAGAACTTATTTTTTCCCACCGCCACATCCCTCTAATGGTATGGATGGATGGATGGATTGATTGATTGATGATCTGATTGTTTGATCTTGATTGAGGAGATCAGTCTGTGCTCTCACGGCGACATGCTCAACTGGAGGTGCTCAGTTTGAGAGACCTTGTTTTGTGGGAAATGGCATAAGCAGCATTAGTAGGACAGTAGAGATGGAAAGTTGCATAACGAAGCCTCACTCCTGTTTTACACACGTGATTCGGACTTAGAATTGAACCTCAGTACTCAGTACAAGTGAATTGTGCACTCTGGACAGATAACGCAGGTGTGATTTCATAAGCTCACAAATTGCTGAAAGATATATCAGTGGGTTTATCAGCTGAACTTTTTGTGTATCATTACTAAAAGATATTCACAGAACGTGTTTAGTTTGGGGCAAAATGTTTTTCCAAACTGAATCTAACCTCTTTCAATAGTTGAAGTAATTTAGTCACCGCAGATGTTACGCAGATGGACGCGGTGCAACGTTAAGTGCTAAATGAGGACAGGTGCTACTGAAGCTGTATTTTTTTTTTAGATGTCCTTGTCTGTTCGAAAGCATTACTGCCACAGTACAATAGGTAAAGCAATATAAACTAGACGAATTTGGTAAAGACAAGAAAAAGAGAGAGATCCAGACCCATTCTCACACCACCATGAATTATTGATTTTATTATAAAACTCACTTATTATTTTTATAACTAAGACAATAATCCTCAAAACACGACTTCCCTACTTTTTCTTGACTATGTAGCTTAGTGGTCTTAAGCCTGGCGAGGCCTTTTGGCCTTTTGGATTTTGGGTTCTCCTGACCTGATCACATGCTGCCCTCCACATTGTAAGCTTGTACCCCTTATGCAGTGAGGCTGGGCCTGAAGTGCACTTCAGCCTTCATGGGGCAACTCGCAGCTAAGAAATGTAACAAAGAACTAGCTCAATGAATGACTACCTTAAAGGACAATTGTTGCCATCTCCTGCTCATTCCTTTTCTGTGGTCTCCAAAGGGTGTGTAATGCTTGCTGGGTATTTTCTTTAACTGGCAAGATAGGACAGCACTTGTCAGGCTGTCTGTAGAACTTCAGATAAGAACAGTGAAAAGGAGGTGTGGGGAGGAGTATCAATGATGCTTCTTGTCTTCAAGCTTCTCGTGACAAACTGTTGATTGTTTGCTGTTGTCTAAAATGTCAGCTCTGCTTTTAATCCGTCGCAGAAGATTGAATTCAGTATTTATGATTAGTGTGTTCACCAAATAGATTCTGCAATCATAAGTTCTACCAAATTCCACTTCACATGAACTCCCAGAGGTCGAACACATGTGGAGTGAGATAATCGAAAGACCAGATGCAGTATGGGAATAGACCGAGGCTTGGAAAGCACACCGGTGCAGCAATTGGCACGAGTCAGACACCTGAAAATAGCACAAAAAGTCCACAGCTGTTTGACAAATTTAATGTAAGGTGCCAAATATGATCTTTTCCACCCCCTTTCTTAACACACCAACAACGACTGACACAGAAAGTTGCTTTTGTTTTAGCTCACCGTGGCCTTGGGCTTCCCTTTGGAAAAACGACAATACAATTTTCCTAATAAATATTGTGTCGAAGTCCACCCTGTGCCAGATCACATTACATGTTTGCTAGTTTGCTCCAAGGACAAGTTCAGTAAACTAGATTCTTTGCATTGCTTACAACAATGTCATATAGCTTGTGTTAAACTATCTTCCTGGTATCTAATGATGAGTGAGGAGTTGGTGCTTCTGATACAAGCAAGTTAATCTAATTTTATGTATTTAAATGTAATAAAATTTCAACAAGTTAAGGCTTACGCAACACCGATGTCTTTTCTAGGTGTGACGACGACAGGCGGTGTATACGGGTTCCGCTGCAGGCCAGTGTGCATGGTCATTTGTGTGTGTTTTGTTTATGTTTGTGTGTGTTTGAGTGAGTGGCAAAGCAGCGGGGGTTGTAACGTGATGCCAAGATGCTGCTGTCCTTGGGAATGTTGATGCTGTCTGCCACGCAGATTTACACCATCTTCACCGTTCAGCTCTTCGCCTTCCTCAACCTGCTGCCCGTGGAGGCCGATATCGCCGCTGTGAGTAATTCTTAATACTTGAAAGAAGGTACATAGAAACAGTACAACTATAGTGAAACAGTGTAATGCAGTTTCACTACTACGCAGAAACACACATCACATGTTGCTGTTTTTGAGGTTAGCAGTAGCAACTTGATAGCTATTTCAGGCCTGTGTTTTGTGTATTAATTAACTTAATTTTTCTGTCTTTCAGTACTCATTTGACAACAAAACGGAGAACTTTGATGACCTGCCTGCACGGTTTGGCTATCGGCTACCCAGCGATGGCCTGAAGGTGGGTGCAGAAGTGTTAGTGTCTAGACATAAAAACATGTCCCTACAAATGATTCCAAGGTTTTTATGATCTCTTTGTTTGTGTCCATTGGTGTGTTTCTACTTTACAGCGCCACTGAATTAAAGTTTAACCATAAAAACATAAAAAATAAAGATTGCGGGTAAAGAGGAAGAAGATATTCCTGGCTCAATATTATTGTTCATATAAATGATCATATATTTACTGGGAAAGGAGCGAAACAACATTAGTTGCGGTTAGAATTAACAGAAAATTTGGAAAACTTCGCTAAATAAATGGAAAACTGTGTGTGGGATGTTTTTTTGAATGTCATTAGGGGTTTTTACAACTTCAAAGCTTCTTCCGCAGCCTGAATCCAGATGTGAACAAACGGTTAGCTTCACTATTGAGATTAAAAAGACTGCATTAGAACAACCCAAATTAATGTACAGGTATTTTAATACATAGACAAACAATGGGAAACATCTATATTGTTACTAATGTTAACTTTAATAAAGTTTGTGACCACAGCAAAAAAAAAATCGGGGACAGTTTTGAAAAACAAGCGTTGCTTTCAAGTCAATATAAATGTCTGTAAATGTGCTTCAGCAGCGAGCTAGACACCAAAGAGAACACATTGTACTACAGAGAGTATTCAAATTACACTGTGGATGGATTTTAATGAAGCGCCATCAAAGTTTAATATGTAATATATATGTATATGTAATGAAAGTGCTCCCAAACATTACTGTACTGTGTTGAGGATTGTAATAATGTGTGCTGTTGTGAGGTTTCTGTGTGCCACCCCCCACCCAGCAACCCGCACACTGGTTGATCCACAAAGCTCACAAACAGAAGGGATGATTCATGTCTGCCATCTAAGCTGTTCATTGTGGCGTTTCTCACAGTCAAGAGCCCAGTTGTTGTTGTTGTTGTTGGTGTTACAGAAATGCTTCTGGGGCACAGAAGCAAGCCGACTGGCAAAATACTTTGTGCCTTGTTTTGTGTTTGTGTATTTGTGCAGGTTCAGTACTGTATATTTGGACATAATTATTGCCACTTAACTGACTTTAAGGTTGCTATGTTTAGCATTATTACACCACTGTGGCAGTCCCACGGCATAATTTTGGCATTGCCACATGAATCGTGATGCCCTGCTGTATTTTAGGAATTATGGCTCTGGTTGAGATGATTGTTAGCATCGGCCTCACACCATGAAACTCTAAAGGTAAACACACACAGAGTGTTTCTTTCTCTTTTTGCCTATTTTTAACAGACAGCAATGGGAATGCCACCAAAACACATGATCTAATAACAGAAAAAATCTGATTTCAGAATAAGCACGTTTTAAGTGGCTTAGCCATCTTACAGAGAATGAATGAGTTTATTTACTCAAGCTTTATGTAGCGACACATACCTGTTTGTATATGTATGTTAATGATTGGATTGGTTGCCAGGTATGCTAGTGGTAAAGGCACACTAGTGTATAACATCTCGGGTTCAATTTAGGCTTGGGACTTTCACTGTCATTCCACCTCCATATTAATTAGCATGTATTTTTGGTTTCTTTGAATTATTTTTGGGCTTTTATGCCTTTTTTTTGACACAACTGAAGACATACAGGGGGATGACATGTTGTTCCTGACGATAGCTAAACACTCATGCCGTACCAGCTTAATTGGCTGGATCAAACTTGGTCACAATTGGCTTTGGGTCCAGATAGCCCAAACGTTTGGAAGTTTGGGATTAGTGGTCAATCAATATGGGTTTTTCAATGGCCGATAGCAAATTTAGGCAAACGATAACAGTCGAATGCATGACTATTATTGTACAGCACTTGGTCACCACCTTCCCAAAACTCACAAAGCGAGCGCTAACCTGCACTCTTTTAATCTTTTTCGTGTGATGTCACATCCATAGTGTTTAACATGTATACGGGCCTTGCCAAAGGTATGCTGTTGTGAATGATGTGTCCCTTAAATCCATGCAAATAGCAGGGATTATGGCACACAGTCATGTTGCTGTGTGTGTGTGTATGTGTGAGCATATTAGTCTTATGTAGGATTCTGTGTTATGAAAGCTGAGAAATGGCTTAGTCTCTCTGTCACCCACTCGCTGTCTTAAATTCACATTTAATCTCCGCGTCTTCTTTCACCTCTGCTGTCCTGCTGCCGTCTAGCCGGGGCAGAGAGGCTGTGTGCCATGCAGAAGTGCTGCCCCAGTCCCCGAGGGCTAAACTCAATCTGTCCATTTTAAAGTTACCCTCCTCTGCCCTGCCTATGTCTGTGTCTGTCTGATTCAGCTGTTAGAGACAACAGCTGTGATTTCCAGCTGCATTTAGTAAGATTTTAATGTAAGAATACACCGACATTATCTTTTAATGTACCATTTGAACCTGCAGTTTTAGTAAATCCATGGTATACATAATTAACCTTCTTTTTAAAGATTAAAAGCATTAAAATGTCTATAAACACTAAACTTATGTTATATATTTTGTTGAATTGTGTACTGTCATTATCCCAAAGGTGTCACATCCCTTTTCAGCGTTTTTATCCAGTTTTAGGCCACATTTTTAAGATACGCTTTTTAACTATATATTTTAACTGGCTGAAGAATTTTAGTCATCAGACATCTGGATCAGAGAAACAAGCTCAGCTAACCTTAGCAGCAGCTCAGCTGGCAGTCTTTTGTCTGCCTAACAGTGTTGGAGAAACCTAATCTTTAAGGGAAGACTACTTTACAACATCATCAAAGTTCATCTTTTCTTATTTTTTTGTTGCAAGATACCCCCTAGTGGCAGAAATTACATATTGTACGATAAACATATATGTGTCCACACCTACGAAGAACACCTTGCAAAAACTAATGCAAAAGACATGCGGACTACGAGGCATCAGTACATCTGGACATGAGCGATTAACGTCCAACTGAAGTAATTATAAACATGTAATGTGTATATGCTGTTACCTCGCACTGTACATCGAAAGAAAATTTGGTAACCTTATTTAATTGTGAGATAAACTCACTTTAAATGTTGTAGCCGTTAAGTGCTGCAGCGGTATAATTCCTGGAGAAACCTCTGGCATCACAAGGCAGCACAAGCCTGTATGTCTCCGGAGGATTCCCCACAGGGAGCGAGGCTTCAAACAGAGCCTTCCCTGTTTTCCTCTTACACAACTGAAGCTGTTTACAGTTGCCTTGGGGTCTCAACGCAAGGCAACTGCAAGCCTGCACACATCCACAGTATGCAACAGTTACGTTTTGTTTAATTTCTGATGTGTACATGTTAGTAGTTTGATTTTGGAGATCTAAAGTGGAGTTCAAATGTAGCATAACAGAACATTTTGATTGTAGAGCATAAAGGTTCAGTGTTTTGCTGCACCCGTACTATGGTTGTTTTATTACGGTACACACTTAATTACAGTAGATACAGTAAATGAAGGTTAAGAAATAAAGGGCAATGGCAGAGGACCCGGCTACAAACCGTGTAGGTTCAGAACTGTGTTTCTTTTATTCAGATATGATACTGGCAAAGAACCAATACTTACCTAAAATAACTGTTCCCTTTTTCACAGCAAATTCTCGACACACCACTTGGCACTTCTAAAACATTTTTGTACCCATTTTCACTTCCACAATTATAGACTGATCTGTGGACATGGTCTGAGAAAAAATGCTCTGGTTTCCTTTGGAAAGTCTTTGTGGTTTGGATGGTTGAGCAACAGTGGAAGAAGCCTGGGTTTGACCAGTGGTAACGTCTCTATAGCACAAAGTTATCCTGTAAAATATGTAAAAATACAGGTTTTCCTTTGTACCGTTAAAGCCTTCTTGTACAAAAATCGCAATATAGATGGACTTATTTATATTAATATTTCTGATAAGCTGCTGACTCATTTCGTTTCTTTAGAAGCAGCTGAATGGACTCCCTTCTATCAGATGCTGAATACCACGTTTTGCATGAACTCCAATCGAGAGACCAAAAGTTTTGTTATGTTGGTTGGAAAAGAGTTTATAAAGAGGTGGCAGGAAATACTCCTCCCATGTCATATCTTGCCTCAAGTAGTGCATATGAAGAGGCTGCTTACTTTGCTGGTTTCCTCTACTGTTGCATGGGTTTCCCCCCTTGTTGCGCCAATTTCCTCCCACAATTCAAAGACATGACTCTAAATTGCCAGGTTATGATTGTGAGTGACTAGTTATCTGTCGGTGTTAGCATATGTGTGTAACCTACTGTGTTCACTCATTTACAAAGATACACGGTTATTTAACTAATTATACAATAAAATTCAGGTCGTAGTTTTACATAATGTGTTACTGCTGGCAATGAATTGTGCAGTCTCAGCCCCACTGGTATCATTGATGCTGGGTAGTTGGGTACCAATGATCTTCTCAAATTTAAAGTTTGAGAAAAATAATCTCAAGTCAAAGGTTGACTATGTTTTTCACTTGAGGTGTCGTTTTAGTGTGAAAATGAAGGAAACTTTGACAGAAAATGAAACGTTAAACTTGTAAGTGAAGCTTTTAGAGATTATGTTGTCACACATACTGTTCCCGTGGTCAAGAATTTACAAATGTATTGAAATGAATCTTAGAAAGCCTGGAGGGCCTTCAAGGATCTCTAAAGGTTCAAACCAACATTGTTCTTCCTATTTTCAGCAAATATCCAAACCAGTTGTCTCCTAGTGTCAACATGCAGAGAGGAAATGTTGACACGTCGTTGCTTGAGTCATTTTTTTGTTTCGTGCCGGCTTCTGGTAAACATATGGTAGTAAACTAATCATAGCTGCACATAGTCACCATTCCTGTCTGTGTCCTGATGACTTATTAGCTTTTACAAGAGTAGATTCAGGCAGATCTTCACTCTCCCCACACACATTTGCTCAGCCAGTCTACAGTGTGACCCAGAAACAAACCCACTTTTTTTTTTTTTTTACAATTAGACTGCAGCTGCCCCATTTCACTGACATTCCTATCCAGGTTGAGTGCAGCAATGGGATCCAGTAAGAAGCCTCAGGACCCTGGTATCAATGCAGTAGACATTGTGATTATTTGCTGTAAAGATGGAAAATGCAGAGAGCAATGCTGGGTAAAAGTTGAATGCTCTGTAGCTTCACCTGCTTCCTGTTGTGGTCATGCATAAGGTAGAGGGCTCGGATGTGGCTTATGCAGGTTAATGTGGAGAATCTGAACATGGTTGAATCTGAGTGTGGAGTCACACTAGCTTTAATCTGCTTACAGGAAGTCCCAGTCAGTCTAGAGCGAGTTATTAATTCCTCTGTTTTTCCTCCATCTGAACCCAGAGCAAATCTGCAAACAAGCACCGATAGTGAGATTTTTAGTGACGGGATTAAGTGTAATCACTGTGCAGTAATTTGGAAAAGTCCACCAGAGAAACCTCCTCCTCCTCCCTCTTGAGTTCTGCAACAAGAACTGTAGAACGAGAAAAAAATAAAGGATCCTTGCGCCTAGATTTTAATCATATTTTACATTGATCATCTGTGTTCACTTCTAGATTTCCAAGAAAAGAACATCCCATTATTTGAAGAGAATTAAACACTCTTTAACCTTAAGAGGCAGCAAGGGGACATCATATCTTGTTGATTTTTTGATTTCCATGTATTTCCATCCAATAATAAGCTTTTAACTGCTAATTCAGTCTGCAGTTACACCAGGCCTGTTTGTCTTAATTCCAAGGCAGTTGTGTGCCAAAAAAATTAAAGATGAACCTTGATTTTATGCTCAGTGCGTACTATTGGTGCTACTTGGAGGGGGAGATGGCTGAATATGAGGAAAGATGATCAGGTATTGTTATGATATGACCAGTACATATTTAACAGTTTCTTTGCTGTCTTTGTTATATTCAGTTATGTAAGTTTTATGGTATCTAAATTGGTATATGGAATTTGGTCATTGTATGCCTACCTATATTGTCTCAACTCCTTTGGGTTTTTGGTCTGCAGTTTGAGCCAATTTACTGCCCTCACATTGGCAACCTTTCAATGGTTTCAATCATGTTGTTTATACTACAGCTTGCTACATGTACTGTATGTATTTTAAGACACTTGTTTCTACCCTCTCACCGTAGTCTGTCTGTCATCTTCTCTCTAACACGTGCAACTTTTTAATTGTGCAAATGGGTCACGACCGAATGTGTGAGCTAAAACACTTAATTTCAACATCACATGCTTAATGAAGGATTTGCCCTCATTTGATGTTTTTTTCAAACTTTGACACCTTGGCCAAACACTAATGCAGTAATGGGGTATTTAGTTTGGTATTGTTACAACACAAACAATCTTGGGGGCCTGGTTTATTTTTCTTTTCTGTTGTTTTTTTACTTACGCATAATACAGAGATCACAGAGGAGCAGATTATTATATAATTACAACTGTTTTAACTTTTATTCATGTCTATTCTGAACATTGTTATGAAATAGTACTGGGGGGAGCGCACAACACAAGTGTACTAGAAATGACAATACAAAGTAAAGAATTAATACAATGTAAGAATATGTAAAGAAGAAGTGACTTAAGTTGTGACATTGCTTGTTTTAATGGCGACTGTCAGCTATAATCTCGCTGTGATCTGTTTCATGAGTGGCTTCAACCAGGAAGCTGTTAATGTTGTTGTAATGATAAAAAAACAACAACAGAAGATATCAGTAGATATACCCGGTATGTAAAGTGTCAGATCTAAAGTAAAGTTAACACCCAAAACCGATCCCAAACATTTGAACAAACCCTCCAACATAGTTCAGATATAGTGCTGTATTTTGAAGTGATAGGTAGAGTCTTAAAATACCAAACTCTCCATGCAGGACTGGTTTTGTTTATGTCTTGCTTTATATTTTTCAAACTACAATGAATGCACAGACATTTGTCCTACTGATAATGATTTTAAAACATACATCTCACATGAATTCATCCTGGCACACACAGACAACAGAACCTCATTCAGCACTACAGCATGATCAAAAATATATAAATATTGTTACACAAAAAAAGCTCCATGTCGCCCAGCTTGGGAGTCTGACAGAACAGTGGAATTATAAAATCAGTTTTAAGGTAGTATTTGATATCTTTGCACAGACAGCATCTCCTTTCAGGACTTCCCTCCTCCCCCAGTTATTTCCTGTTTTTCACCGTCCTCCTCTCTCTGCATTCTGCAGTCCTGGCAGGTATTTCTTTTTCTTTTTTTAGATGTTTTTACCGCCCAACAGAGGGCGCTCTTGCCACTGGTTTCAAAGTCAGGAGGAAGAATGTGAGGCAGTGGCACAGTGATGTCATTTAGCAGCAAGGCAGGGCTGCGCTGGAGGAGGCACCCAGAGGTGACCGGTTGGTGAGGGCAGCGGGTGATTCCTCACATCGTTCTCCTCCCTGATGTGAGATTTCACAGATGATCCCCGATGTTCGACCTTTCGGATGTCGAGTATCCAAGCAGTCAGAGCGACTTTGCCTCCGCTGCCGTGCAGTGTGGTTTGGTTTTTTGTTAGTAAATGTGATGTGTCACTCTGGTCATCTTCCATATGTGGCTCAGCTGCTGTTTTGCAGTCATGTCAGCGTGGCAGCCGGCAAGATGCACTCACAGGAAATCACTTTGCTGTGTGTGTGTGTGTGTGTGTGTGTGTGTGTGTGTGTGTGTGTGTGTGTGTGTGAAAAAGTGCCGACTGTCCTCCATATACGGGCTAATTTTTCTTTAAAGCCTTGACTGTAAGAGAGAGGGAGAGAGCAGAGTCCTCAGCAGTCCACACTTCCTGTCTACCACCCTGTCTACCACACACACACACACACACACACACACACACACACACACACAGAGTGGTGTTAGTTACACTTGCATAAGAGCAGCAGAGGTTTAGAAATGTATGTTGCATCTCCCGCCTCATCTCTTGTGTATTTTCCTTTGGTTCTTTGCTCCTTCTCTTTTCTCACCATCTGGTAGCCTCTGTTTGTCTTCGCCTTTCTATTTTTGTATTTCTCTTTGTTTTTTTCCATTTCCATGTCATCCTTTTTGTCTGAATTTCAGTGGGTCTCTGATTCCCTTCGCCTCCATATTTGTATCTTTTGCTGTTTTTCCACCTTTTGTTCTCCTTCCCTTTATCACTCTGTCAGCATCTCTGTCTAACCAGCTCTCTCTCTCGCTCTCTCTCTCTGTTCTCACTATCTCCCTCTCATCAGTCACTTCAAAAGCTGTTGTTGGAAATGAGACTAAGACAGGAAGCAGCAGAGAGAGAAAGAGAGAAAGATGGGGAATACAGAGAGTTTTTTTTAGGGCAAACTGAGAATCTGACAAACTGAAGCATCCTTGAAAGACTGTGACACATGCAAAAACACACCGGTTTACATGATTTTTGTGTGTCAGAAATCGTCTTCATTCTAGTGGAAAGATCAGTATTCATTATGCATCCAATACCATGTTAAATTTGTGTTTTTATTTGCCAGTGTTACATCTGGGGCTGCAGCAGAACTCATTCCCAGCATCTTGTTTTTCTTTTTGTTTTGTAAGTTTGTTTTTTGTCTGTGGTTTGTGATGGATGTTGTTAATCTGGGAGCAGCGGGAGACCTGAACAAAGACTGTGCTGCTCAGACTTTGGGTCCTGGGTTGGAACTTTTTTTTTTGCCTTTCTAAAGATTTTAATCTGGAAATCATACTTTTTTATGATACCAGACACACATTATTGTTCCAAGCAGACTATTTGTATATATGTTTTAATACATGTCTGGAGGGGCTGTTTAACCTTTTTAACTCTTTCACACAAAGTAGATCAAACAACTGCATGTTTTCCCTCTACACTAATACTTACCTGCTGACAAACACACAAAAACCACTCCTTCACCCGGCCTTGTAGCCCTAAACTGAACGCTAAAACCAAGTCTGAATCCTCAGCCAACTTATGTTTACCTTCTAACATTGTACAGGCTCACTAAGCAGGTATTGAAACCTGAAACCGTGTGATCATATCTTGGAAAGGACTGCCATCTGCTCACAAAAGGCTTTTATAAACAAATCCCCCCCAAAAAATCAGGTTCTTCAGCGCTGATGACTTGTCGTGTAACTATGGAGCCGCTGTTACTTATCACATTGCGATGCATTGGGACCTGCCTACAGTCCATCAGTTGTCTACATCAGTCATAATGAACCCTGACAAAACTAGCCAGTCCAGTTTAGATATGACAATTTGGCTCAGAGGTGTGAGAAAGTAAGCTTATGACGGTTCATGTGTATTTAAATCTGCACACAATTACAAAAGTGCCCTTCAGCAAAACAGTAACTGCTCCAGTGTAGCTTTTTATTTATTAGAGGACACAAACTCTTGAGCAGGAATGACTGAAACCGAATAAACAAGGTCACTGCTTTGTCAGCAACATAATAGTTGATCATTATTACTGCTCCTTTTGATCTGTTTGAGTACAGAGGATCCTTTTTGTTAAAGTGTTTTTAGTTTTTTAGTGCTCTTCATATGTCCCATAATAAATTTAAATTGCCTTGTATCATTGCTTATTAGGGCTAGATTAGTGCTTTCTATGAATAATAGATATCCTCTTTTGGAAAATGACTCCTCATTTGACTCCTCATTGCCTCTTTGACATTTGCTTAAACGTGAATGTAAATCATTTGTGTGTTTCTCTCACCATGTCATGTCTGATGATGTCATCCCCGCAGGGCTTCCTGATTGGGGCACGGCCAGAAAATGCGTGCGAGCCCATCGAGCCCCCTCCGAGGGACAACCTGACGGGCGCCTTCATCGTCCTCATCAAGCGTTTTGAATGCAACTTTGACATCAAGGTACCCGTCGCTGTTGTTCGTCACTAGTTTGAATCTTTTTTAACTACTACATCTAAGCATAACCAGTTTTATTCTGATAGCAGATAACGGTGCAGCCGACTGTCTGACTAAAACTATGTGCAGTGTTGTTTGTGCGTTGAATTCCTGCCCTTTTTTTATTTCATTAACAGGCTTCCAGCACTTGTTTAGTGAAAGTGTAGTTTTTTTTTGGCCGTTTTACTGCAGAGCAATAACTGGAAGTAATTGAAAACATCATTTATTTCAGCAGCTGTTAATTTATAAGGGCAAGCTGCCAAAACCATAAGAGTGTGTGCGAGGCCTCACACTCTGCATTTATATCAGTAGGTGGAGTTTCAGAGTTAATTTCACTGGAGCTCAGATCTCAGATCAGTTGGCTGCGACAGGAAAAAACAGGAAGCGGCCATTTCCCTAAACACAATTTCCTGCTTGAGCATCTATCCCGTCCTATTACTGCCCCTTCTCCTCCTCCTCCTCCTCCTCCTCCTCCTCCTCCCTCCTCCTCCTCCTCCTCCTCCTCCTCCTCCTCCTCCTCCTCCTGCTGCTGCTGCTGCTGCTGCTGCAGTTTTTTTTGTGTGTGTGCGGTGCCGGACTTGTGGAGTTGAAAAGTTCGGTTTGCAAAATACGTCAGGGAAGCTGCTGAGAGATGGAGAGAGCTGATCTCTATTAGTCAAGTGAGGCATCAGGCCACGTGCAGAGCAGAGAGGGTGGTGTGTGATGGGAGTGTCGCCTAGTTCAACAGGAGACGCCTGAGACAGGAACAGAAAAGAGAAATGGAAAAATAATGCTGATCTGTCAATAAAAAAAGCAGTCTAACCTCAGTTAAAGCATGACTAACCTGCGCAGAGTGGCTGTAAATTTACCCAGGACTCTGACTTGAACTGGCACTTTTGAAGGAAACACCATGACGTTGTTGTTCACTTGCATTCAAGTGGAATTTGCTACTCCAGTTTAATACCAAGTAAATGTCTGTAAGACTGAAATCTTAAACATAACAAGAAAATATAAAACGGGTCAGAACTTGAAGATCTTGTTACAGAATTTCAAGATATTTACTGAGACATTTTTTTGTTTCAGGATCTGCAGACATCCTGAATTGTTGCCAGATACTTCCGTAGTGAGCACATTACCTATCCCCTGTGATTAGAAAACCATCATATGTGTTCTGAACACTTGATAAATTTAGCAATAGAGTTGGCAGCAAGTGAATTACAGGATTTTAATATTAATGCAGCACCTTCTGCTGAATCCCAAGGATGTTTTTTGCCAGAAGTAAAACGTTTTTTTAAGTTTTTCCAACTTTCTTTTTTTTGGTCACTTAATTTTTTCCCCCTTTTGCGCTGACGGAAACTAAAAATGTCCATATGCAGGAAACATAATGCAGTAGATGGGTTACTAAGTGCATCTTAAACCTTGTGGATTCAGAGTGAAAAGAAGAAAGAAAGAATAGAGAGGAGGGAGAAGAGAGAAGGAGTGAGGTAGTGGGGGGGAGGAGGAGAAAAGAGAGTGAGAGTGGGGATGAGTAATGGGGTGAAAAGAGAGGAAAGCATGCAGCCTCTTGGCATTTTCTCTCGGCCTCTTTCTGTCTCTCTGTCTCTTCCTCTCATACTTTTCATTCTTACCTTTTCCCTCTGTACCAACAGTTTCACTCACTCACGTTTCCACAGTCTATCCCTCTTTTTCAATCTGTTTTTATTCTCACTTTCTCTCTGACAAAAAGAGCGAGAGAGAAAGACTCTCTATTGTAAGTCTGAACCAGCTATACAGCCTTATATGGTCTTAATGCATCACACACACACACCCATAGAAACATGTTGACAGACAGGGCAGTGAGGTGTTCCTTTTGCTGGAGTGTAACCAGACTCCACTCCACATAGCTGTGTGTCAGACAGACACAATATGTATACACACACACACACACACACACACACACACACACACACACACACACACACACACACACACATACACATACATACATACACACGAGCCTCTCTGAAATTTGCCATTTAACCTCCCGAAACCCTCAAAGGAGCAACTTTGACTTGTTGAAGTTTACTCTGATTTACTTGTTGCTGATGTCTGGTGGCATTGTGAGTGTAACCTTACGACACATTGACGCCTTACAATGCATTTCTCACCGGCACCTATTTGCCTTTCAAGGTAAATTTTGACATTTTTAAAAAAAACCAAAATATGTTTTTATGTTGCATATAATCACTTTACTTTGGTTGGTTTAGTTGCTCAGTTCATCCACAGTTAATGGATGGATCGACAGCTCCTTCTAATTAAAGATATTTCCTTGAAGCCATGGTTGCGAAGAGGGTAATACTACTTGTCCTTTCACCTCTTCTCTGTGTTTGTTTGTCATCCTTTGGCTTTACTATGACAAGTAAACATGCTGTCTGCTCTTTTTTTTAAATCATGGCTCCTCACACCATCTGCTCTTGTGAGAAAGGTGATTGCAAAGTCAGTTGATGTGAGGCAAAAATGTTGAACTGCCTACTTTAAGATCACAAACTGACTGACTGACTGTAATGTAAAAATATTTGGTAGTTGATGTTTTATGAGAACTGAATACTATTTTCCTCGACAGCGTCATTCCTTAAGGTCACGTGCGAAAAAACATTTCTCTTTTTTTCTTGTTGCTTCCACATTGTCCACGCCCTCTGCTCATACATGCTATTGTCTCTGTCACAGGCCACTTGTCCCATTGAGGTTATTTGATGGAGGAAAAGTAGCTTGTCAAGGCTGTGGGAAAGTTTTGCTGATATTAAATCTTAATGACTTAAACATTCATCATAGGGTGCGTCCAGAGGCCTAGTGGTTAAGATGCATACCATGTAACCTCATCGTGGGACCTTTTGTTGCATGTCAAACCCTCTCTCTCTCTGTTTCCCTCTCTCTCTGTCTCTGTCTCTCTCTGCATTTTCTGTCAGTATCTCTGTCACAATCAAAATGAAACCAAAAATTTTATTATTAAATAAGTAATATTACAAAATTTGAAATGTGTCTCTATAATGGCCGTCTATCTGTAAGATTTCTGGCCCACAGATGTTTGTTTTGCTGCAGTACTGCAGTCGGCCACTAGGCACAAATTGGCAGCAGGGCTGGCCCGATGCGCCAAATGTATCTCTCTTAATACACCCATGTGTTTACTTGCCTATTTTTAAACTTGTCATCAGCCGTAATAAAGATGAAAACTAGCTTAAATAGGCACACGTTGAGTAGTTTGTTCTGACTGTGCTGAAGGGACGGTGTCTTTCTCTCTCTTCTCAGTTTCTTTATCTCCTTTCCGATCTCTTTTTTCCCCCCTCTCTCTTCCCTCACTCCCTGTCCTCAATTTCCTCCCATTGGCCTCCCTTATATTTGCCCTCTCTCTCTCTGTCTGTCTCTGTCTCTCTCTCTCTCTCTCTCTCTCTCTCTCTCTCTCTCTCTCTCTCTCTCTCTCTCTCTCTCTCTCTCTCTCTCTCTCTCAAACACACGCACACACACACTCACTCACACAGTCTGTCTGTAGGGTCTGCCTTGTCTGTCTGACTTCAGTGTCTGGCTTAATGATTGCTCATATCTACACACATCATCACATGGACACACACACATGGATACAGTTTGCTCTCTCTCTCTCTCTCTCTCACACACACACACACACACACACACACACACACACACACACACACACACACACACACACACACACACACACACAAGCTACCCCCTTCCCCTGCCTCTGTCTTTGCCTTTGGCAGTCTTTGTCTCTCCATCACTCCCCTAGTTGCTTTTCCTCCTTTTGTCGTGCTGTTGTCTTTCTCTCCCCCCTCTCTCTCTCCACACACACTCAGTTAGTCGCTAGCATTCAGCTGTCTACCTTGAATCCCCCCCGTCCTGTCTCTCCCTCTCTCTTTCTCGCTGTCTCTCACACACACACACCCTCCCTCCCTCTTACCAGGGCTCAGTTCCCTCCAGAGGCTGCAGGGAAACAAAGGAATAATAGATTCCATCTTGACTGAGACGAGGCACTCGTGTGTGTGTGTGTGGGTGTGGGTGTGTTGGTGTGTGTGTGGTGCAGGGGTGTCACCCCCCCTCCATACACACACATGCCCGCTGTTTCATTCCATTGCCTCCCATCTCTTCCTGCCCCCTCTGCAGCCTCCTCTATAGCATTTAGCCATTAGCATCAGTGAGCGAAAGCACGGTTGTAGTTTTAATGGATCTGTGGCCGTAATGGGCAATAAAACGGACACTCACCCACTTAACCCTCCGTCAAGTGTTCGCTCCTCCACCCGTGCAGTATGAGTGTGTGTGTGTGTGTGTGTGTGTGTGTGTGTGTGTGTGTGTGTGTGTGTGTGTGTGTGTGTGTGTGTGTGTGTGTGTGTGTGTGTGTGTGTGTGTGTGTGTGTGTGTGTGTGTGTGTGTGTGTGCGATAAGACATGACAGAGAGGAGGTCGAATGTCGAGAGAGTGTCTGAGATGGGGAGGGGTGAAGGGGATCAAGTGAAGGGGTGTTAATAGGCATACTCACTCTTTGTGTGTGAGAGAGAGAGAGAGAGAGAGAGAGAGAGAGAGAAGGAAGCCTTCCTCTGTGGCTGCTGCTTTTAGAAAACAAATCTCTAGAGAGACAGGGTTTGCACTTCCTGTACACTGGGATTCTTTTGAGGTGGTGGTGGTTGGTGGTGGTGGGGGGGCGGGGGGGTCATTGGTGACCTTTCTGACCTTTCTGGGAGGGTAGGGGAGTGAGCAGGAAACTGGATACCCTTTTCCTCCCGTCTCCTCCCCTCTCCCTCTCATGAACACCCCCTTGTGCCTCCTACGTTCTTTGCAGGCTGTCTATCCTTCCCCCTGCTGCCCTCTAATAACACACACACACACACACACAGACAGCAGGTCTATATACATAAAGACATAATGTCCTAGTTATGTAACATGTGCTGAGATATGTCGAGCTCTATGGAACCACGTTGTTCCACTCTTTCTTCTATTTCC